ACTCATACATAAGTAGTAATCTGACAGTAGGTACATAATCTAGTTACTGATTAAATACCCGCAGTGTCGCAAATACTCCTGTCGATGGTAAATCATTTCTGCTACCCTAGTACCGATACGAGCACACTTGATGGGATCATGGATGGTTTCATCACGATCGCTCCTATGGTGGGCTGGTTAACCCACCGCTGTCAACGACCAGTACATACTTGGTTGATGCTCCGCTGCGGAGGAGGCGAGAAGAATTTAACAAGGTAGCACGGAAGGGGAAGGTACCACAGCTCATCTGCACAGGATCGAGCCCATCCAAGATTAGTGACTACTAAAGTACTTACTGGTTCAAGGATTCAGCAGCCTGAGAAGCCACAGTTCTGTGGGGACCATCTCCGCTAAGAGCTCTCTTGTTTGTTTGGGGATCGAGGACTGCGACGGACTAGAGTGCACAAGGATTAGCCAAGCGAGCTGGAAGGCCAATTGATCATCCATCCTTCCCTTGCTGCTTCGAGGCCTGAAAGACAGACGATTGAAGGATCTATAGCTGGTGCGGAGGGTGTAAGGAGTAACTACCTAAGGTTAGTCCTATGTAGCTAGAATAAATTAATTGTGCTTGCCAATGCTCGGTTGCAATTTACTTGAGTTGCGGGTGGTGGAGATCAGATTGCACACAATCGCAATTGCAGAGTGCGGTAATTGGAAGTGGCTTCAAGGTTGGTTCCTGCCTATACCTACCTTAGTAGTAGTGTGTGTGTGGGCGGAAGACTTCCGACTGCCGTTACCCGTTTTCCCCCATGCTGGGTGACTAACCCGTCCATTTACATTAATGAACTTAGTTAGTCTCCCTTTATAATCTACATTATTATGAGTACTACTGCTTATTATTCCATCCATCCGAAAATCCTGTCACTCCCTGAATCCCGAAAGTACGATCTACTGAAGGTCTGTTAGTCTGATGGGGCCTGCAAGTTGTAGCGCCGCCAGACCTTCGAATTGAAGATGCCTAATTAGTATGCACCATTTCACAGGAAGGATTCGCTATGCTAGACTATAACTACAGAGGTCTCGAACTTAACATGAGAAGCATATCGACTATTGCTAAGCTGGTCCACTCACACACAAGGCAGAAACCGGCCATCTTCTTGCAGCCTGTCGCTTCCGTTTACTCTTTTCTATGGGTGTGTTTCTCCCTCGAGGAGGTTTGAGCGTCAGATCTCCGATGACGATGGTGCTAAGATCGATCATTTCCCTGATTCAGGTCGCTTGTAATCCTCCGGAATTTAACCTATGGAATATGGATATTGGGCTCAAGTCAACCATGGTACGTACCAAACACTAACCGTCATCGGTTGATATCGCCCAAGTGGGTAGAGATCGACGGCCCCCGAGCCGCCCGTACCTGAATTAATCATCAGTGCTTTTTTTCTTTGTTTTTTTTCCCGACCGCTCTCAACGAGTTTGCTTGACGATCACCATCCGCCCCCGACCGCCGAGCGGTAACAAGCGTACTATTCATAGAAAACTTTTCTCTCTTGCCATGATGTTCCGCGTCGGAGACCGCGGTGCAAGAATCTATCTATACGGCGCTCATGTCATATGCCGTAGTGTATGCAGACTCCCCTGCTAGCCACCAATTGTCTAGGCACATGCACGTATGTAGCGTTTGTGGCAAAGGACTAAGGTACATACATTCTGTAGGATTTGTTCACAGTTCCCCTGCAGTCCTTGCATAATAACCAAAAAGTTTAGTTCATTTATACCCACCCCCCTGTGACCTGTGGACAATAAGAAGTCTAGAAGAGTTAGAATCTTGCCCTAACAAAGGACCGAGTCGGAGGGCGTACCCGCGCAAGCCAATGGGAGTTGGCGTGGAAAAGCAGGAGCCCAAATCTCTCCCCGCCCCTCTCGGGGTTCTCTTTACGAATGCCAATTATAAGCCGGGCTATGTACAGCGGTCAGCTGGAAGACTAAGACATACTACCGAAAACGTACATGAGATGCGATATATATGTACCTCAGTTGTCGAGTTTCACCATTTCTCGAATCGCCCCTCCCCTTGGGATACAGTACATCTAAGCTGCATAAGCGAAGTAACTCCGTGATATGTCCGCCATATGGCGCCTATACTATAGTATGCCTGTGTAACGCCTAGTCGACTACTCATTCTCGGAACGTGACGGCTAATGCCGGTTCTCTAAGAGCGCCACTTTCAATGAATTTAGATAGGCTAGACTAGATATAGCATTGTGAGGCCGCTGCAAGTTTCGTTTAGAATGACGAATTCGTGGTTCTGTGGTTCTGTAAGCCGCTGTATAGGGCGGCCAAATAGGTTTGCATCTTCTGAGTCTATAGCACCCAATATGGTTTCTGATCTAACCTTCGCTTGTCTGTGCGTGCCAGGGGCTCATAATGAGGAGTCTGTGCTGGGATCTCTTCCCAATGATGCTACAAGAAGTCTAAATTTGACTTTATGGATAATATGAGTTGTTGTTTCCATTCTTAACTCTTTAACAGACTTTTTATGCTTCGGTTTATGTATTGTAGTCACGTGTAATTTCGTCGATCTGTTTTTTCCAGTGTGGTCTCCTTTTTACCTTTCTCTTCTTGTTATTTTTCCGGGACATGAGACTAGGCTGCAGTAGTAAATTAGTGATGTCTGCTATTGTGCAGTGACTAGTGAATGTCTACTTAGTGTCGGTTTAGCTGGCTGAGGTTTGTTTGACAGGAGAACTAACTTACTAGGCACTAGTTACTAAGCTAGGCTGGCTTAGTCAGTTGACGCTGATACCTTGGTACTTTGAATGAGCAAGGGTAGGCCACCTCCGCTGTTAATAACTCTATTTTCTCACTCCCGTGAAGGTGTTCATTCCAATGAGCTTCTTCTCTCTTCTGGCGTAAAGTCTATCTCTAGGAGTAAGAGATGGGGAGTTTCGACGTTACGAACTTCTATGACGTGATGCAAGATATCGTGAGGCCATGTGTAGGAGAATTTTCCGGCGGACCACGTATGCTGCTGCCCCTCTACCAACTTTGTTTTATCACATTCCTTCTCTTGCAACTCATGTGGAGAGTGCACGGGTGTTGAAGCTGGAAGACCCATGGGATTCGGGACTGACCATGGCCAGCCAGGGAACCTGTCGACCTGCGCTGCCACTCATGGACGTCGGAGTGGATCGGGCGGAATCATTAGGGCAAGTTTGGACGGGTGCGCCAATGACGCCGCCCAAACTTCCGCTTCCCGATCAGGAACCGGACTTTTGTGATGGTGGACCCTCTAAGTTGGTCTGGGACTCGGAATTGATTTTCGATGTTTATTTTTCTTGATTTACTTTTCTTTTTCTTTGTCCCTTTTATTTTGTATCATTATTTTTCCCATCTTTTTTCCCCTCCTTGTTTCCTTTCCACATTGGATCCGATGCTTGGTGAACAATTACAAGTCTTCAACATAGGTAGGTGATAGTCGCCGTCTTGGTCATCATCGGCTTCAATCGTACTTAACCAGTTTTTCTCTACGAAAATCTTCTTCTCATCCCGTTCGACGTGTAGCCTTGAAGTAGGCTATTACTACAGAGTCCCGTATGTGTGTACATACTCGTAGCTTGTACGGGGTATTGCATTTATTGCCAAATACGGACGGCAATCGAAACTTGAGTCGGGTAAACCTCCGCTCTCCGGTCCCTTCCCCCTCCACTCCGCTGATAGTCGATTCCCAATTTCTCCGGGCTGTTAACATCACTACCGGCCAGCTCGCAGATTCGTATATGTACTTGCAAGCATATGTTCCCGTATGTACTTACATACCGGTAGCAGGAGTTAGTGTGTTGGAGGATAAAACAGTCTAGCCCACAAGACGATTTAGTTAATTACGTACATAAACACGATTCCATTCGCCATCCTCTACACCCTGATCTCCGAGCCATCAATCATGGTGGGTCTTGTTTGTCTGGGGCCCGAAATAGCAAAGTGAATGGGCTCTCCGCGAGCTCCGCGAGTTCACAGTAGTATAGATTTTCGACTCAACTCGTCGTTCGAGACTGACCCCAAAGTTCATGATGCTGCCACTGCTAACTTAGTCCAGGGCCAACGCCTCAGCCATGAACGTCATCCATGGCTGGTCGCCTTGATTTTGACAGCAACTACTCCCCCCTTCTCCCTCTCCGTCTTCGTTTTTCAAGTTGGGCCGGATTATAAAAATGATTTTCAGGATTTATTTTATCTTTTTCTCATTTCTTTTCTATTTTTTTTCCCACTTCACTTTGCCCTCTTATACTGCACACTATTCCTCTAGTGCTTTCCCTCCCCGGGGAGATGTCTTTGCCCCCTCGTCTACACAACCGTTCTCCACTTCCTCCCTCCATGCCCATGGCAGCCAGATGATCTTTTCCCTCTCTTCCCTCCACCCCTGGAGGGGCTCCACCCAACAGACAGAGTCCACTTCAAAGGCAATTGGGCTTATCGCCCTGCAGAGGCTTGGTAAAAGAAGCTATGGAATCAATTCCCTGCCTGTACCTTCAGCTCTAGACTAAGCAAGGGTATAGCGGGGTGGCCACGGTTCGAGCCATGCTTTAATGCTTTTTTTACTGCCTCCAAACCATTGGTTGAGATGGGGGGCGTTTCGTATCCTCCCTAGTAAAGAAATGTCTGGTAATCCGTAAGCCTTTCAAACCGTTCCATGCAATAGGGTCGTGGTTGACTCCATCGATCCATCCATCAACCTATTTCGGGCTAAGGCACTCGAAATTCCATGGCGATGAAAGAAAAGAACCCGAACATGTGGGTGTGGTGCGGCATCGGTTCCAATTTAAAGGTTAGATATAGTCGAGCTTTCGTCGTCGTCGTCGTGCTCTCTCTGCTCCTTGGATCTTCCACCCCATTTCTTCCCAAACTTGCTCTCCCCGTGGTCGTCTCTTCAGGCAGGCAGACTTTAATTCTTCTTGGTACATTTTTATTCCTCTGGAGTACCCAGTAGTCCCAGATTTTCCCTCCCCTTCCTTAGAGTCTCGACCATGGCGCAACCGATTCCATGCTGCCTGCCTCAGTTTGGCAGTGGTCACTCCGGGCCGAAGCGGCCGGCTTCTCTGAGGACCAGAATCAGTGCTGCGCAGACCACCCAGTTACTGTCCGCTTGGGACCAGGGCCGACTAGACCCTCTCCTCGAGGCCTCCTGGGCCATTCTCCTACACCACTACACCGGGCTGGAAGAAATCTGCTTCGGCTACCAACCATCAACATCGTCTTCGATCTCATCTGTTGCACATAATGATCTCAATGATCTTAATCACTTAATCTTTAATCTGTCCATTGCCGAAGATGACTCCCTCCAAAGCGTTCTGCGTAGAGCAGAATATAAGCACCACGGCTTCGGGGACGGTGATGCTGAGAAATGCGAAACCGCTTCCCCTATTCATAACGGCTACACTTTGTTCAACACCATTCTCATGCTACGCGACTGCCGCAAGCCGACACCAAATGCTGGAAACCTTGCCATGCAACCGGTCTTGGCCAATCCCCTGCCAGAAGAGGTAAACCTTGTGTTGCATTCGTTCCCCCTTCCCTTCAAAGTGTTTTCAATCCGACTGACCCAGCAATTCTCTCTCCCAGTGCCGAGTGAGGCTTCATGTCAAGATCTTGCAAGATGATGTGCGCATCTTCTTCGAGTATTGGAACCATGATGTCTCTACCGAGCACGTGAGATGTGTTGCCGATTACTTCGAGGAGATCCTCGCCCATCTCCTGTCAGCGACGGATATTGCCGTCAAGGACGTGAGCCGTCTCTCAGATCGCGACTGGGCCCGTATCTGCAGGTTCAACTCCGCCATGCCGGAATCTTACGATCGTTGCATCCATGAAGTCTTTCAGGAACAGGTCTTGGTGCGCTCGGACAGCGAAGCTGTCTGTGCTTGGGATGGGAGCTTGACGTATAGAGATCTGGATCTGTTATCGTCTCAAGTTGCATACCATTTATTCGCACAGGGAGTTCGACCCGAAACATGCGTCGCCCTGTGTTTCGATAAGTCGGTGAGTTGCCGATTATCCATACGCTATCGAGTCTTTTCGATAGCCATCGTGTGAGAAGCATTTGGAGGCTAATGCTATGACCGTGATAGAAATGGAACGTTGTGGCAATGTTGGGTGTTTTGAAGGCTGGCGGGGCCTTCGTCCCGATGGATCCAACTCATCCACTTTCTCGCTTACAATATCTGGCAGGCGCCGTAAAGGCCGACATCTTGCTTTGCTCTAGAAACCATACGGAGGCTTTGAGTCAAGTCACCAAGACTATAATCCCCCTTGACCAGGAAACAATCGATGGTTTGCCTTCAATCGAAAATGCTGATGCTTTACCGCAAGTGGAAGGCCGCAACGCAGCCTATGTGATTTTCACTTCGGGATCCACGGGGGAGCCAAAGGTGTGTTTACTCAAGCTTTACGCAAGCCTCTTCTGACATAGACAGGGTACTATGCTGGAACATCGAGCCTTTGTTTCAAGTGCCATAGCCCACGCTCCACGACTTCACATTTCTTCTACCTCCCGTATCCTACAGTTTGCAGCACACACTTTCGATGCAAGTCTGGTCGAGCTGCTCACTACCTTGGTAGTGGGTGCTTGCATCTGTATACCAAGCGAGGAGGAACGTCTTGGGGATATAGTCAAAGTGATCAACGACATGAAAATCAACAACGCTTGTTTGACCCCTTCGTTTGTTGAGTTTATTGATATTTCGCTTGTCCCAGGATTGGAGGTTCTTACCCTGGCAGGTGAAGCCATGTCTCAGGCTCAGGCGACCACTTGGTCGAAGATCCGCCTTGTCAACGGCTACGGACCGACGGAGAGCGCTGTTGCCGCCGTCATCAATCCCAATGTTACCGCGACCACCGACTGTAGGGATATTGGCCTCCCCGTCGGCGTCCGTTGCTGGGTCGTGGCCCCCGACAACCATGATCAGCTCGTCCCCGTCGGTTCGCCCGGTGAATTGGTACTGGAAGGCCCAACGCTTGCCCGTGGCTACTTGAATAACCCGCAGAAGACGAACGACGCTTTCATTTTCGATCCTGCTTGGACTAAACTGGACACCACCCACAACGCCACCCGCAGATTTTACAAGACAGGTGACCTGGTAAGATACAATTCTGATACTGGCTCACTAAACTATATAGGGCGCAAAGACACACAAGTCAAGTTTCATGGTCAGAGGGTAGAGTTGGGGGAGATCGAGAATCAGTTGGCGGCTGATCCCAATGTCAAACATTGCTTGACTTTTCTGTCGAAGTCAGGGTTTTCATCAGGCAAACTCGTTGCAGTATTCTCTCTTTCCGTTCAGTTCGAAGGCCAGCACAGCTCAGACAAAGCGCCACTAGAGCTTATTGATCCGACTAGAAAGGCACCGATCGTTGCCGAGATCCGGGAAAGATTATCGAGCCGCCTGCCGACCTACATGATCCCGGGCGTGTGGCTTTGCGTGGAATCCCTGCCCTTGCTCGCATCCGGGAAAATAAACAGAAAGGCCACTGAAAAGTGGATTGGGGAGATGTCGGAGGACCCAGATCGCCAGACTGTTACCTTGGAGACAGCAGACGCGACCATGCTACCAACTAGCACCACTGAGGAACAAATAGCTTCGATTTGGAGCCGTGTTCTTAATATCCCAAGGGCTCGAATCGGAACGGATCAGGGCTTTCTAAGCCTTGGTGGCGATTCGATCGCAGCAATCACTTGCTTGGGATTCTGCAAGAAACTGGGGATGGGCTTAAGAGTACAGGATGTTCTTCACAGCAGATCAATTAGGGAATTAGCAACGCGTGTCAAGCGGATCGACCAGTCAATTGTGTACGAAGAGGAGGTCGAGAAGCCCTTCGATCTTTCCCCGATCCAGAAGCTCCATTTCACGGTCCGAGACGAGGGGCAGGGTCACTTCAACCAAAGTGTCCGCACTCGCATAAACAAACATATTCCAGAGCATGAACTGCGATGTGCTGTTGAGAAAATCATCACCCGCCACTCTATGCTCCGCTCACGTCTGGAGAGAAATAATGTCGATGGTGGCTTTCAGCAGCGGATCACTGAAGATGTGACCGGCTCGTACCGCTGGCGTGCACATGATGGTGTCGGCCAGGATAAGATTGATGCGGCCGTTGCCGAAAGCCAGTCTTCCATGAATGCTTTTGTGGGACCGGTTTTTGCTGTGGACCTCTTTCATGAGAACGGCGTTAATTTACTACTGTCCTTGGTTTCTCACCATATGGTTGTCGATATTGTTTCTTGGCGCATCATCCTGGAGGATCTGGAAGACCTGCTGCTCAACCCCAGTCAACCCGTCTCCCAAAATGGATCCCTCCCCTTTCAGACTTGGTGCCGGCTGCAAGCCGAACAATGCCAACCCTCTGAATCGACAACGATGGAAGAGTTGCCTGAGATCCCGGAACCTAATTACTCTTACTGGGGACTGCAGCACAAGCAAACCACCTACGGTGATGTCGATTGCGAGACTTTCGAGCTTGATGCCGAAAGTACGCGCGCGGTCCTGATGGACTGCCATCAAACCTATTCAACCGAGCCAATTGATGTTCTCCTGGCTGTCCTCCTGCATTCCTTTGGAGAAACATTCAAAGACCGTTCGTTGCCTGTCATTTACAACGAAGGTCACGGACGAGAGCCGTGGGACCCGACCATAGATATTTCGCGTACTGTTGGGTGGTTCACAACTGTCTATCCCATTCTCCTCTCATCCATCCCATCATCTGATCCATCCGAGACAGTTGTCCGTGTCAAAGATCTTCGTCGTCGCGCCGCCGACAATGGTCGTCAGGATTTTGCTCGGCGCGTCTTGACAACTCGGGAGGACGGAACCTCTCTGCACTATAGCCCTTTCGAGATGTCATTCAACTATGTCGGCCAGCACCGTGACCTACAAAGAAAGGATGGCCTCTTTCAGCTCATGAATCAGATGGCGGGAGAAACAGGCCAAGGTGGAGGTGCAGCTGACTTCGGTGCCGACACTCCTCGCTTCGGGCTCTTCGAAATATCTGCCATGGTTGTCCAGGACAATCTCCGGTTCATTTTTTCCTTTAATAAACACATGCAGCACCAAGAACTCATCAAGGATTGGGTCCAGTGCTGTCGATCTTTGCTGCAGTCCATAGGTCAAAGTCTCCAATCTGCCCATCCAAAGCCAACATTGAGCAGTTTCCCCCTTCTGAAGCTGTCATACAATGAATTGGATACCATAATCACGAAGAAACTTCCGGACCTCGGTGTAGTTTCGTTTGAAAATGTGGAAGACATTTATCCCTGCTCAACGATGCAGCAAGGAATTCTTCTGAGTCGTTCCCGAGATACTACCCTCTATGCTGTGCACGGCACATTCGAGGTAACAGGGTTGAGAGGCAAGCCTACCGTGGATCGTCTGACGACAGCATGGCAAAGAGTTGTGGCTCATCATGCAATGCTGCGGACCTTGTTCTTAGAGAACCTGACAAGCAAAGACCTCTTCTGTCAGGTGGTTTTGAAATCCTACGACGCCAAACCTCAATACTTGCGCTGCGGATCCGAAGCGGATGTACTGTCCACTCTTGATGCACAGCCAGCACCACTCTACGACCATTCTCATCCGCACCACCGCTTTACGATCTACGAGACCGCCAATGGAAAACTGTTCTGCAGGCTTGAGTTTAACCATGTTGTCATCGATGGTAACTCAATTTCGATCATCCTCCGCGATCTTCAGCTGGCTTATCAAGGCGAACTCGAAGAGCCAAAGCCGAAGTTCAAGAACTATATGCAGTATCTACAGCAGACGTCGCAGCGAGCCAGCATCGACTATTGGCGCTCATATCTAACAGGGATCAAACCTTGTCACTTCCCAGTGCTCAACGATGGTAACACCTCTATCCGGGAGTTACGGACCAAGCGACTGAGCCTTCCTTTCTTCAAGGACCTTCGGAAAGCATGTGAAGCAAATGGGCTCACATTACCCACCGCTTTCAGCGCTGCATGGGGTCTGACAGTTCGTGCTTTCTGCAACTCTGATGATGTCTCCTTCACATATTTAGCATCATTGCGAGATGTTCCTGTAGAGGGAGTCGAATCTGTCGTTGGACCCGTCATCAACACACTGACCTGTCGCATACAATTTCCTGAGAATGTTCTACTCAAAGATGTTCTCTCTAGAGTTCAGAACGACAACATCGAGAACCTACCTTACCGGCACCTTCCTCTCGTTGATATCAAGAAGGCTCTTGGAATCTCGGATTCTCTTATCAACAGCGGCATCTCCTACAGAAAACTCCCAACGTCAGACTTGAGGGCAAGAGGGGAGATCCGCCTTTCCGAGGTGGGAATAATCCACGATCCTGCCGAATCTCCCGTGTTCATTAATGTCGAGGCTACTGATGAAAATGCCAACATCGAGTTGAATCATTGGACGGATCATCTCTCCGTTGGACAAGCTGAACATGTTGCCAGCACATTCCTCAAATCTCTTGAGAACATTGCATTTCACATGCACGAGAATGTCCGCAAGCTCGATAATTTCAGTGATTTAAACAAGCAACAGATCGAGGCCTGGAACAAGCATATGCCAGGTGCTGTGGACATTTGCATTCATGAAGTGATTGAGGCATATGCGAAATCGACGCCCGACTCACCGGCCGTCATCGCTGGGGATGGAACTTATACTTACCACAAAGTTGACGAGCTTTCCTCGCTACTTGCGGGTTATCTCATTCAGCTCGGTGTGAGCCCGGGCGACATCGTGCCAATTGATTTCGACAGATCTGGCTGGCAGATAATGGCAATCTTGGCTATCTCGAAAGCTGGGGGTGTCTGCATTCCGCTGAGTGCTGATTTGCGGCAATCGATTGAAGACTGGACGGTAATGGATGAAGCACAAGTTGCTCTCGTGTCCCCGACCCGTGCGCAATTTCTGGAAGGAACTGTCCCATATGTCCTTCCTGTGGAGGAGTCTCTGTTTGAGTTCCTGCCTCGGACAGATATGGGCTTACAGTCACCTGCTGTCCCGTCGCAAGATGGATACGTGGTGTTCACCACTATGAAATCTAAGGCCGTTGTTCTCAGCCACCGTGCAATCATGACCCGGGCAAGATTTTTCGCATCGGAGCTTGGCTTGAACAACAAGAACCGCATGTTTCAGTCGTCTTCTTACACCTCAGATATGTTTCTGCAAGAGACGTTCGGTACGTTTTTGGCTGGTGGCAGTGTCTGCATCCCGTCCAATACCAGCTCGGAACATCTCGCACGCGAGTTCAAGAAGCTACAGGCAAACTCCATCAGCCTGGCGATATCAGCTGCGTCAGCGTTGAAGCCAGCGGTTTTCAATAGTGTCGAGGTTCTTGCTCTGTGGGGTGAGGGTCTGACAAGGAAGCTGGCTGAAAATCTGCCTAAGAGAGTCAAAGTTCGCGTCTTCTATGGAACAACCGAGTCCTCGTCTGCTTCCATCCAAACTTCTGGTTTCGCAGCATCTGATGACCATCAAATCATTGGATCCACTGTCGGATGTTTCCCGTGGCTAGTTGATCTCAATGACTCTAGAGTTCTTGTTCCAGTGGGATGCGTGGGAGAACTAATTTTGGAGGGCCCTTGTCTCGCCCGCGGATACCTCGATGACGAGGAGCAGACGAAGGGATCTTTCATTGATAGCCCGGGATGGAGCCTTGGCCACCACAACGAGGCTGCTGAAAACTCAGAGCAAGCACGTTGGCTGTTCAAGACCGGAGACCTTGCTCGTTTCAACTCGGATGGATCCCTTGTGTATGTGGGTAAGAAGAATGGTGGTAGTCGGACCGATGCTTTGCATATCGAGCAGCGCCTGTCCACGCTGACTGCTACCAATACTCCATACGCAGTCGAAAGTATCTCTAAGAGTGACGAACGGGATTCTCAAGAGGTCATGGCCGTGTTCATGTTTAATGGCTCCAAGGCCAACGTGGCTCAGAACCAGATCATTGCGTCTATGACACCTGAGTTCTATGAAGATGCGAACAAGTTACATGCTCAACTATCCCACCAATTGCCGGAAGACCAAGTCCCTAGGTTCTATATCCAGGTACCCAGAATGCCATTGACATCGAGTGGTAAATTGAACAGACAGCTACTGAAGGACGCCTACAGCCGCTTACCAGAGGCTTCCCGGCTGGCTTCGGACATTAGGGGATTTAATGACTTTTGGAGATTCCAGCTAGCGAATTCGTCTCAGCCTCAGCAGTTCCCCTCTCGTGCGAGCTCATCTAACGCATATTCTCCCAAGTACGGAAGACAAAACGTGCAGGTTACGTGGTGCGGTGCTGTCAGATCGCTCAAGGAAGGCCCCAGGTCCGCTATTCTTTCCGCTTGGGCTCTCACCATGCACGGCTACAGTGAGTCCGATGATATCATCTTTGGGGAATCTCTCATGGGCACCGAGAATTCGATTGAAAATGCACAGCATGGGATCATAGTTCCTCGGCGTTTCAAGATTGACAGCAAATCCACTGTTACTGAGCTGCTAGAAATCACCGAAAGCAACTTGACTGCAGCTCAGCGCTACCAGTGGGCAGGGCTTCGCCACATCCAAAACCTCAACGCTGACACAGCACGCGCCTGCACGTTTGGCAGCTTGCTTTCGGTGAGAGAAGGAAATGAGCATCCAGGGTCAGAAGCTGTTGTCATTTCTCAGGACGAAATCACCTCCTTCCCGTTGCTGGTGCAGTGTACGCTCAAGGATCAAGATGTAGAGTTTGCTATTCGTCATGACGAAGCGGCTCTAGACTCGGCCCAAGTCGAACGCTTGATGGCTCAATTTGTTGCTTGCTTGCGACTTCTGAGTTCCGGCGAACACCTGACAGAGACTATCGCGGACCTTTCCAGAGCCCATGACGGCTTCCGTACTTTCCAGAATGGTATTCCAATCTGGAAGAGATATTTGGCCGATGTCGAATCATGCATGTTCCCTATATTGTGTGCTAACTCATCTGAGAACACGCGAGCTCATAAGACACTGACTATCAGTAATGCAAGCGACCTGCAAGCTTTCTGCCGGAACCGAGAAATCACTGAGTCTCTACTTGTCGAACTGGTCTGGGGCCTGACCCTCCGCTGCTATACCGGAATGGAAGATGTATGCTTCGGTATTCATGTACCAGAAGTTGGCCGCGATGACTCGTTCAAATTATTTGACACGGCTCCTTCAAGCAACGTCCTTGCTTGCAGACTCAAGCTCGATGACAACGTGACGCTTGAGCAAGCCATGCAGCAGAGAAGAATCGACAGCGAGCAATTACTGCAGCACCACCTATCTTTTGAGGAAATCCAGCATGAACTTGGATTTGAAGACGCCATATACAACACTGTTGTTAGATGTTCCGGAGCACCCGCAAACATTGATTTGAGCAAGTTCGTGATTGCTGTCGAGGCTAATTATACGGAGGTAACCGGTGAAGTTTCATTTGAGTATTCCACCAAGGATTTCTCGGATGCTGACATGGAGGGTATCATCGATGTCTTTGACCATGTCTTGAACTCCGTCATTCACTCCTCTCCACAGGATCGTGTCATCGGCGAGATTGATTTTTTGAGTGAAAAATCCTGTCAAAAGCTGCGTGAATGGAATGCGAACCTGGAGGATCGACCCAAGACATGTGTGCATGAGATCGTTCAGCAAAGAGCATATGCAAGTCCATCGGCTCCTGCTATCTGTTCTTGGGACGGCGAATTCACATATGCTGAGCTTGACACCCTGTCGACTCGACTCGCAGAGCACTTAGCAACTATGGGAGTCAAATCCGAAGTGTTTGTTGGAATGTTCTTCGAGAAGTCAGCATGGACTGTCATTGCACAACTTGCTGTCTTGAAAGCTGGCGGTGCCTTCGCGTCCCTCGATCCTACCCACCCCACCGATCGTTTGAGCGGCATGATTGAGGACCTTGGAGCAGAGATCATTCTATGCTCCGAAAAGTATCATGATAAGGCCTTTAAAGTCTGTGGGTCATCCTTCGTCGTCAGCAGAAGTACAATTGAAGCACTACGCGAGCCCGCATCGTCACAAATTCAACCTGCCAATATCAACGACCCGGCTTACGCGATCTTCACATCTGGGACTACAGGAAAGCCCAAGGTGACTGTGCTGGAGCATGTTGGATTGAGTCTGGCTGCATCGAGTCATGCTAGGGGAATCGGTTTAACTTCCAGTACCCGTGCCTTGCAGTTTTCAAGCTATACCTTCGATGTTAGTGTGTTTGAGATCATGGTTGTCCTCGCGAATGGAGGATGCGTGTGTGTGCCCAGCGAGGAGGAGCGCATTAACGATCTGGCTGGAGCTGTGAAGAGATTAAAGGTCAACGTCAGCAGCACAACTCCTTCTATTATCAACACTCTTGATCCCAAGGCCGTTCCCAATTTGACTACGATAATAACAGGTGGAGAGAAGATGCCGTCTGATTTCCTTGATCGCTGGTCGGACAGATGCGTCATCAATGCCTACGGACCCTCTGAAGCTACGGTGATGAACACAGTAGGTTTCAAGAGAGATCGAGAAGGAAGACTTATCAACGGCGACTTGGCCTCAATCGGCACTGCGATATTGGGCAGGACCTGGATAGTGGATGTCCGAGACTCCAATCGCCTTGTTCCCATCGGCGCAGTTGGAGAATTGGTGCTCGAGGGCCGCAATGTCGCACGTGGTTACCTTCACAATGAGGAGAAGACAAAGGCGGTATTCATAACCAACCCACACTGGTCGAATCGTGATGGGCTAAAAGCACTTTTCCCACGCAAAGAACGGATGTACCGCACCGGAGACCTTGTACGTTACAACCATGATGGCTCCATTACATTCATCTCGCGTATCGATACCCAGGTGAAGCTCAATGGTGTGCGTATCGAATTGGGAGAAGTTGAGCAGGTGTGCGTTCGTAACTTCCCGGAAGCCACCCAGGTGGCTGTCGAAGTCGTTGCGCCGGAGTCAAAAATTGTCGGAAAGTGCTTGGCAGCCTTCTTCACAGTGACTGGTCACGGTCAGACGGACGAACACGAAATAATCGTTTCCATGGGTGATTCCCTGATGGGAGTCGTCAAGCAGCTACATGACGCCATGACTCAATCCTTGCCTCCAGCGATGTTGCCCAAACTGTTCTTCCCTCTTCAGCGTATGCCTTTCGGATCTACAGGCAAGATCGACCGCAGAAAGCTTCGAACTATGGTCGATAGTCTTCCTAAGGAGCAGTTGAAGCCTTATGCTATCTTCAACCTTGGTAGGAAGAATGGTGTCGAGGTGGAGATGGTCGGAAACGAGGGAGCTCTTAAGGGTCTCTGGGAAGAAGTCCTCTGTCTTGCGCCAGGCTCTATCACTTCCGAGGACAATTTCTTCGGCTTAGGTGGCGATTCTTTCTCGGCCATGAAACTCGTCGGTGCCGCGTCGACTCGAGGCATCTCACTCACGGTTGCTGATATCTACAAGACACCTGTTTTCGTGGATATGGCGAAGGTCTGTGGGGCTATGGAATCTGACTCTTCTGTGGAGGAGATCCAGCCTTTCAGTCTGCTGCCTGATTCGATCGCGCAGGATGAGATATTGAGCGAAGTTTCCGAGCAATGCTGCGTACCCAAGCAGCTAATAACCGATCTCTACCCTTGTAGCCCGGTGCAGGAGGGCTTGCTTACCCTCTCCATCAAACAGAAAGGATCTTACATTGCTCGGCCTGTGTTCCAGCTTGCCGAGGATGTCGACCTGGATGATTTCAAGGCTGCCTGGCAACAAACAGTTGATGAAATGGACATCTTGCGCACCCGGGTTGTGCACACTGAGGCGGCGAACTTCCTCCAAGCTGTTCTTGCTGAGGCACCAATCACTTGGGATCATGCAAACGACTTTGACACTTTGGCCAACGAGGGCTTCGACTTGACAACGAACGACGGAGGCTCGCTTACTGGCTACGGAATTGTGGAGCCCGAGGACTCCTCGGAAAGGTACTTTGTCTGGACGGTACACCACGCTCTGTATGATGGATGGAGTGTTTCACAGATCCTCAGAAGGGTGGAGGAGATCTACTCGGACTCTGCAGCTTCCACTCGCGCCTTGCCGTATAATTTGTTCATCAGCCACTTGTTGCGGACAGATGTCTCGGCATCTGACGAGTTCTGGAAGAAATACCTTTCAAACCTGTCCTCAACACCATTTCCGCAGAACAAGACACCCATGGAGGATGCTATCCGCGTCGGAAACAGGCACTACAGCTCTGTTACCATCCCCCAGGTAGCCAACAGCCTCAGCCTGACAGTCCCGGAGTTGATCCGTGCGGCTTGGGCATTGATTGTCTCCGTTCATACTGCGTCTGGGGACGTTTGCTTCGGCGAAACGCTAATGGGAAGAAACACTAACATGCCTGGTGCCGCGGACGTTGCTGGCCCAGTTCTGACAACTGTCCCTACCCGTATTGTGGTGGATAGTGACATCGGGCTCGTTCAGTATCTTCAGAGTGTGCGTCAATTGGCTGCTGAGATGATCCCACACCAACATACTGGACTTCAGCGGATCAGGAAACTCAACCAGGACACAGCTTCCGCTTGCGAGTTCCAGAATCTATTGGTCATTCAGTCGGACGAAGGCCAGCTTAACAAAGATATTTGGGAACAAAAGAACAACCTGACCGAAGGTGACTTCTTCACTCATCCTATCGTCGTCGAATGCAAACTGGAACACAGTCAAATCGCAATCACTCTTCACCACGACGAGCTTGTCTTCGACAGTTGGCAAGCCCAGATGCTCATTGGACAGTTTAGTTTTGTACTGGAGCAGTTGCTCGCCATCAACAAGGAAGATTCAAGGAAGGTTGGTGAGCTAGAGGTGTCTAGCCCGGTTGATAGGAAAGAAATCGCTGCCTGGAACCAGAGGAATCCTCCATGCGTCGACCGATGCGTTCATCATATCATCGAAGAGAAAGCATCGCTCCGACCTGAAGCTCAGGCCATCTGCTCCTGGGATGGCCAGTTGACTTACCGAGAACTCATCCATTTGGCTTCTTCCTTTGCTGCTTATCTGAGCTCGCGCGGTGTTGGGCCGGAGACTCTGGTGCCAATTTGCATGGATAAGTCTGTGTGGGCTGTGGTCACTATTCTCGGTATCCTGATCGCTGGCGGCGCTTTCGTTCCCCTTGATCCTGCTCACCCTACTTCAAGACACCAAGAGATTCTGGCCGAGGTGGATGCTCGGGTGGTCCTCTGCTCTCCTAAGTACCAGAGCCGTTACTCGGGCTCTGTGAAGACCATTATTCCGGTCAGCAAAGATACTGTCAAAGCATACTGCACACTTGCAACCTCGAGCACGAAGCCCTCTAGCCGGGTAATTCCCACAAATATGGCCTTTGCTATTTTCACCTCCGGAAGTACCGGCCGTGCCAAGGGTATCATCATCGACCACAAGGCACTTGCAAGCAGTGGCATGGCGTTCGGACCCATGGTACACATGGACCAAGATACCAGAGCTTTCCAGTTCGCTTCCCTCACTTTCGATGCTGCGGTCATGGAAGTGCTCGTAGCTCTTATGCACGGAGGTTGTGTCTGTATCCCAAGCGAAGACGAGCGCCTGAACGATGTTGCTGGTGCTATCAGACGTATGAACGTTTCGTGGTCGTTCTTGACTCCGTCTATTGCTAGCATTATTGAGCCGTCTTCCGTGCCCTCCTTGAAGCATCTTGTATGTGGTGGAGAGAAGATGTCACGCGAGGTGATAACCAAGTGGGCGCACCGGGTCAAGTTGATGAACGGCTACGGGCCTACCGAGACGACAATTTTCGCAGTCATCAACACCGACGTTGCTGCCATTCCCGAGCCTGCTTGCATCGGTTACGGTATTCCTTGTACTCTGACTTGGGTTGTTGACCCCGACAATCACGACAGGTTGACACCTTTGGGTGCCGTCGGTGAACTGGCCTTGGAAGGTCCGGCGCTTGCTCGAGAATATCTGAAGAACCCTACAAAGACGGCCGAAACGTTCGTGAACGAGCCAGCCTGGATCAAGAGCTTCCCCAGCTCTCTGCCCGCCCCAAGAAGGATCTACAAGACTGGAGATCTGGTCAAGTACAACCCCGACGGAACTGTGCACTACATCGGCCGTAAGGACCACCAAGTCAAGCTTCACGGTCAGCGCATGGAACTTGGAGAAATTGAGCATCGTCTGTATGAGGATACCCGAGTCCGCCACGCCGTCGTTCTGTTACCAGCGACAGGGCCTCTCAAGCAACGTCTGGTGACGGTTCTGTCCTTGAACTCGTTGACTTCTGAAAGGAGCATCATCTCTGACAATGCTTGCGAGCTTGTCTCCAAGAACCGCTCGACCCAGTCTGCATACCACGAACTTGTGGCTATTCAAAAGAACCTCGAGTCTCAGCTGCCTATCTACATGGTTCCCCAAGCCTGGGCTCTCATCAAGCAATTGCCGATGCTTGTCTCTGGAAAGCTGGACCGAAAGCGCATCGCTGCCTGGCTCGAACGCCTTGACGACGCGTCGTACGAGCGGATCATGCAGGATTACGACAATATCAAGCGAGGAGAGGTCGAGGAGGAGATTGAAGACGATGTTGAAGAGGAAGATGACACCGAGTCCTCTGCCAAGCTGCTCCGCGAAATTTTCTCGCAGGTTCTCAACATTTCAGAGAACAAGGTCGATCCTAATCGGTCGTTTGTCAGCCTAGGTAAGTAACGTCGCTCACGGATTTGAGCCGGAGTAGCGCTAACAAGGTCACACAGGCGGTGATAGTATCACTGGAATGGCTGTCATCTCGCGTGCACGCAAGCAAGGGCTTACCCTGACCCTTCACGGCGTGCTGCAGAGCAAGTCGATCAAGGATCTCGCTCAGACCTCTGAGGCCAAAATTAAGGCTGTCAAGAATGAGGAGAAGTCAGATGAGCATTTCAAATTGTCTCCAATCCAGGACTTGTACATGCAATCCACCGATAAGTTCAAGAGTGAAGCTCGATTCAACCAGAGCATGACGGTGCGTGTCACCAGGGAGATCGAGCCGGAAGATATGAAGCAGGCCGTTCGATCTGTTATCCAACAACACTCTATGTTCCGCGCACGGTTCTCAAACCTTCGCGGAAAATGGCAGCAAAAGATTATCGAGGTGAGTTGTTTTTTGCACCAAAGCCATCTCACAGGCTCAGAAGCTAATGCATACCCGCAGGATGTCGATGCCTCTTATCGATTCCGCCATCATTCTGTAAGCAATGAGAAGGATATCCTGCCCCTTATCGCCGACAGCCAGTGTTCGTTGGACATCGAAAATGGGCCGATTTTTGCGGCCGATTTGTTTGAAGTCAATGGAGGCCAGCAGATCCTGTTCCTAACAGCCAGCCACATGTGCGTTGATATGGTATCCTGGCGCATTGTCTTGCAGGACATCCAGGAGTTCCTCGACTCTGGTTCGCTGTCAGGAGAAAAGCCCCTGTCTTTCCAGACTTGGTGCAGCCTTCAGCTCGTGGAAAGCAAGAAGAGAATGGGAACTATCCAGCTGCCATTCTCTGTACAGCCGCCTAACCTTAGCTACTGGGGTATGGACAAGTCTGCAAACTGTTATGGTCAGGTCAAGATGGAAGGCTTCACCCTGGATGCAGCAACAACTGCCCAGATTCTCGATGCATGCAAGGCGGTCCTCCGCACCGAGACCATTGAAGTTGTTCTCGCTGCTGTGATCCAGTCTTTCCGCCACACTTTCACTGATAGAGAGGTTCCGACAATTTACAACGAAGGCCATGGTCGCGAATCCTGGGATTCCTCCATTGACCTTTCCAGAACTGTGGGTTGGTTCACAACTATGTGTCCTTTGCATATAGATGGAAACACAGGTCAGTTCATTTCCCTGCTCCTTTGCGATGGCGATGCTTACTATTCTGCAGATATTCTGAATACTCTGAAGCATGTGAAGGATACAAGACGTCAAATTTCTAGCACCAGCAGACCTTACTTCGCTGAGAACCTTCTCCACAAGAATGCGTCCGACTTCCCAGTTCCGCTCGAGGTGCTCTTCAATTATCTCGGCCAGCTGCAGCAACTTGAGCGTGACGATGCACTTTTCAAGCATCACAGAGAAGCACTTGATGCTGAGACGCTCGAGGTGGCAGGCGACATGGGTCCTGAAACGCGCCGTTTCGCGCTCTTTGAGATTACGGCACTCATCATCAAAGACCAGCTCCAGATCTCGTTCACCTACAACCGCCACATGCAGCACGAGCCACGGATCCATGGGTGGGTTTCCGAGTGCAAGCGCGTTCTTCAGGAGGATATGCTCCGCCTCGGAGAATGTTCACCTGAGCCGACACTCAGCGATTACCCCTTGCTGCCGATTACCTATCAAGGCCTTAGCAACATGGTCAAGAGTGCCTTCCCCAAGGCTGGTGTTGAAAATTGGGACGAGGTTGAAGATGTCTACCCCTGTTCTCCGGTGCAGGAAGGTATCCTGCTCAGCCAGCTGAGGGACCCACAAGGATATCTGTTCAACGTTATTTTCGAAGTGCGTCCCCAGAAAAAGGGCGATAAAATCGATGCCAAGAAGCTGCGCAAGGCTTGGTCCATGGTCGTTAGCCGTCATCCTGTTCTCAGAACTGTCTTTATCGACAGCAACTACAAGGGCGGCTCGTTCGACCAGGTGGTTACGAAGAAGCTTGAGGACGAGATGATTGAGTTCGAATGCGAAGACGCAGACGCACTGGGAACCATGGACGCTATCAAGCTCCGCGACATCAATGTCAAAAGGTCGACTAAGCTTACACATCAAGTGAGCATCTGCACCACCTCTTCCGGCCGTGTTCTTTTCAAGATCGACATGAACCATGCCATCATCGACGGTGGATCAGTAGACCTGATCCTCAGAGATTTGACGCTGGCCTACAATGATCAACTCCCCGAAGGCTCTGGACCTCTTTTCAGCGAATACATCAAGTACATCAGAGGCCAGACTCAAACCGAGGCTCTGGGTCACTGGACGAAGTACCTTTCCGGTATCCAGCCCTGCCATCTTCAATTCTCGGGTGCTACCAACGCCACTCGGACGCTCGGCGAGCGCTTCATGGACTTCACACGCTTCTCAGAGCTGCAGAAATTCTGTGAGCAACACTCGATTACTCTTGCGAATCTGACACTCTGTGCTTGGGCAATTGTCCTCCAGAGCTGCACAGGCTCGGATGACGTTTGCTTCGGCTACCCGTCCGCTGGTCGTGACTCCCCTGTTCCCGGGATTCAGGACGCAGTGGGCATCTTTATCAACATGCTGTGCTGCAGAGTCAAGTTCAGCCCTGAGAAGTCACTTCTCGAGGTTGCCAAGACGGTGCAGGATGACTTCATGAAGAACATCCCTTACCAGCACTGCTCCCTGGCTCAGATCCAGCACGAGCTTGGGTGGCACGGAAAGTCGCTTTTCAACACGACTCTCTCGATCCAGAACCGTACTGCCAACCAGGATGCTGCCAACAGATCGATCGGCTTCGAGATGCAAAAGGCCTACGACCCAACTGAGGTGAGTTGCTTCGATACACAATACAGAACAGTGCTAACAGGGCAACAGTATCCCGTGACCGTGAACGTTGAGACGACTAAGGGTCGGGAGGGTATCTTGTTGAGATACTGGTCCGACTCCGTGACCGAAAACCAGGCCAAGGATCTATCCGATGCGATTGCTAAGATCTTCACATGCTTTATTGAGAAGCCGTCTAGGCTCGTTGCGGACTTGGGTCTGCATGATCTACGCCCAGCCTCTCAATTCACCAAGGGCCCTCTCATTGCAGATCAACTGATCGACAACTATGCCCTGCAGCAGTTTATCGACAGCCGTGTGAACGAGATCATCGGCAATATGCTCAAGGAAGGAAAGCTTTCTGTTCCACTCGTGCAAAGAAGCGAGACAAGATACTCCAACGGTGCCGTTCACCTCAAGATGGTCGAGGCTTCCATCCGCGATCCTGATGCAGGTGAAAATGATCTGTCGGATTCGATTCCTTCCCTGACCGACGATGGGTCAAGCTCCAGTGACACCGAAAGACGTCTCTGGGACCTCTGGAAATCGACCCTGGGGCTCAAATCTGATAGCATCGGCTACCGCGATAGCTTCTTTAAGCTTGGTGGAGATAGCATCACCGCGATGAAGATGGTCAGCGCTGCCCGCGAGGAAGGCTTGCAGTTGACCGTCGCAGATGTTTTCAGCAACCCTGTCTTCGAAGACATGCTGGCTATCGTCACACCTCGCAGTAGCCCGACCTCCAATGCGGAGACACAGGGCGAAAACAACATCGAGAAGCTGCTCGAGTCTGACATTCAGGAAATTCCTCAGGTTGAGCAGAAGACGATGCCACGTGCCATGGACCTCGATGTGATGTCTCTGCAGGATGCCATCTGTCCCAAGATTGGTGTCTTCAAGGGCGGCATTGCCGATGTCCTCCCCGTCACCGATTTCCAGTCGCTGTCAATCGCCGCTACCCTGTTTGGATCCAGATGGATGCTGAATTACTTCTTCCTGGATGGCAACGGCCCACTGGACATCAGACGACTTCGTGAGAGCTTTCTGCGCGTTGTTGACGCGTTCGACATCCTGCGCACCGTCTTCGTTGTTCATCGGGGACAGTTCTACCAGGTGGTTCTGCGCAAGATTCAACCCGAGATTATCGTTCATGAGACGGAAAAGAGCCTTGATGAATACACGGATGACCTCCAGAAGCGGGATCGCGAGCAGGACCCTCGCCAAGGGGAGCAATACGTGCAGTTCTACATTGTCAAGCAGAAGAAGAGCGACCACCACCGCATCCTCATTCGGATGTCCCACGCTCAATTCGACGGTGTCTGTCTGCCCAAAATCATGAACGCGATCAAGCTGGGCTACGAGGGCAGCACCCTACCTCCCGTCTTCTCCTTCTCCAACTACATGCGGATGCTTCCTGGAAACATCACCCCAGCCCACTACCACCACTGGTCTACGATCCTCAAGGGCTCGAAGATGACCGAGATCGTTCGCCGTACGCAGCCCAACACTTTCCTGCACATTGGTTCCTTCGCAGAGCACAAGAAGACCATCAATCTTCCGTCCACCGCTACTGGCAATGTCACGCTCGCGACGGTCATGCAGTCCGCGTGGGCCATTACCCTAGCCAAGCTGACTGCCCAATCTGATGTTGTCTTTGGACTCACTGTCAACGGTCGCAACGCCGGCGTCCCCGGGATCGAGACCACCGTCGGACCCTGTCTCAACATGCTGCCGATCAGAGTCAAGTTCCGGGAGCACTGGACGGGCATCGATCTGTTCCGCTACCTCCAGGATCAGCAGATTGCCAACATGCCATACGAATCGCTGGGATTCCGGGAGATCATCCGCAACTGCACCGACTGGCCGCAGAGCACCTACTTCACGACCTCCGTGTTCCACCAGAACGTCGACTACGAGGGCCAAATGCAGCTGGACGGTGTCGACTACCGGATGGGCGGCGTGGGGGTCATCGACAACTTCACCGATCTCACGCTGGCGTCCAAGTCGTGCGGACCCGAGAAGCTCGACGTGTCGGTCGGCTACTCGACCAAGGGGCCCATCCCGTCCAGCTTCGTGCGAAAGGCCCTCGAGATGGTGTGCGAGACGGTGCAGAGCCTGATCGCCAACCCCAGCGTGCCGCTCGCCTCCCCGTCCACCGTCCGCTCCCTGCCCAGCCAAGTCATCCACGAGACGCCACGCTCCTCCGACACGACCTTCCAGCTGTCCCGCCTGAACACGCGCAGCAAGGAGGAGATCCTCATCCACTCGGACATCCTCACCCGCACCTGGCAGCAGGTACTCCCGCGCCGCACCGCGACCGGCTCCCACTCCACCACCGCCGCCGCCGCCTACCAGCTCGACTCGTCCTTCTTCGACCTCGGCGGCGACATCATGAACATGGCGCAGGTGGTCTGGATCCTGCAACAGGAAGGCTTCCAGGTCCGTCTCGAGGACCTGCTGGAGCACCACACCTTCTTGGGCCAGCTGGCCGTCATGGCCGAGCACCACAAGCAGCAGCCGCAGCCGCAACCGCACTCAGCCGAGGAGACCCTTCCTCCGGTTACCGGCCCGATCTCCGATGAGGAGCGGACCGCTTCGCTAGTCAAGAGCGGAAGCTGGACCTCGTTGGGCAAGGCTGTCACGTTGGCGAAGCGATTCACCAAGTGGGGAAGCGTTTCCACTCGCAAGTGATACCGTCCCTCCCCATCATCTTTATATGATTAGATGAACATTCTTTTGGTTTCACCATTTTCATTCTGTTAGATCGGTGTTGTTTTGGATTTGTATATAGGGTTTGTTTTTGGATATGATGCTAATCTAAGCCCTGGACATAAATTGTCTGGCTGCCTACCTGTCTGTCTTTTGGAACTTTGCTCGTTTGTTTTGTGGGGATGATCCCATCTCCAAGAAGTATTTATGGTTTTTGATTGGAGTCTACACATAATTCCATCGTTCAGTTTATCTATTCTCCTCGGTCTAGTAGCGGGCCGCAGTAGTCCAACTATGAACATGTACTCTGTACAGTGACTCGCTTCTTCCAAACTCGTCCCTTATAGCCTAACAGCGTGTGACACACAACATCGAGGCCTACTCATCCAGAAGCCAACACCCCGAGCTCAAACCAAGTCAGAAGCAGAATCTATTAGTGACTAACATTACCGTATATGAAAAAGAAAAAGTGGGGTATCTAAAAATCCCGATCATGTCGTATGCATATATCCACGTCACGCAAGAAACCCCAAACCACGAACCAAAGGACTCCAACCGGGGTTCGGCAGAGGTATCACAAATCACAAATCACAAATCACTTTTTCCGGACAGAAGCCTATTGCCGAACAGCCCACCCCGCCCCGGCCCATCCCAAAACACACCCTCCCAGGTGAGGGTACCTAGAAAAGGAAGGAGAGGGCGAATCAATCATAGACCGAAGCGCGCGACCACTTCCCGCGGGCGCGAATGCGCTTCCCGTAGATATAGAACAGATAGGGGATGGGGATGAGGGCGACGGCGACGAAGCCCAGCACGCTGGCGGCCCAGGGGACGCCCATCTTGGTGAACATGATGTTGGCGAACAGGGGGAAGCAGCCGGCGAAGAGGCTGCGCATGAAGGTGTTGGCGGCGACGGCGCTGGCGGAGACGGCCTGGAAGGTGTCGATGAGGTAGTTGAGGGCGGCCTGGAAGATGGTGAAGAAGCCGAAGCCCATGAGCACGGCGCCGATGCAGGGGCAGATCCAGTGGTACCGGAGGGTGCCGGTCCAGCCGAACAGGAATAAGCCGGCGGCAAAGAACACCGAGCCGAGCATCATGGGCGGCAGCCGGGCCTCGGGGACGGGCCGGTTGCCGTTGGCCTTGAAGCGGCGGACGTAGAAGCGCTGGTTGAGGAGGTTGATGGCGGCGCCGCAGAGGATGCCGATCAGGTAGGCCAGGAAGGGCAGGGCGCCGACGACGGGGTTCCAGCCGCGGATGCGCTGGAACTCGATGGGGAAGGCGGCCAGGCTCAGGTACAGGATGCCGTAGACGAAGGAGGCGTACAGCGCCACCAGGAAGCAGATGGGCGTGGTCAGCAGCGCGAAGGGCCGGATCATGTACTTGTTGCCGAGCTCGCGCAGCGTCACGTCCCACTCCTCGTGGCGCGCGTGCAGCGCCCAGTTGCCCGTGCTGAAGCGCAGGCGCTGCGCCTTGTACACCAGGAGGACCGGCGGGTAGGATTCATCCAGAAATAACAGGTCCAGACACAGGAAGAACATCATCATGATGCCCGTGATGTACTGCGTCCACCGCCAGCCCAGGTAGCTCTGCGTGATCGCCCCGCCCACGATCGGCCCCAGCACCGGCCCGCCGACCACCGCCATCGCGTAGCCCACGATCGCCGCCCCGCGCTGCTCCGCCGTCCAGATGTCGCTGAGCACCCCGCCCGTGTTGGTCACCGGGGCCGACCCGAAGAAGCCCGTGAAGAAGCGCGTCAGCATCACCGTCTGCAGGTCCTTGGCCGTCGCGGTGCCGAAGGAGAAGATCGCCGCGATGAAGTAGGGCGCCAGCACGGCGGGCTTGCGGCCGTAGACTTCGGAGATGGGCGCCCAGATCAGAGGGCCGAGGCCTGTGCGTCTGTTTGTGAGTTCAAAGGGGTTCTCGATGGTTTACTTTTTTCTAATGGAAGAAACAATTGAGGAATGGGATGGTGGCAAGTGCCAGTGGAAGAGCGTGTAGGGGTTAGGCGCGTACCGAATCCAAACAGCAACAACGTCGTCCCCAGCGTCCCGACTTCCTCGCCCACATGGAACTCCGAGTCGACCTGCGTTGTCCCGGTGGAGTAACTAGATGCGCGGCGCGTTGTTAGCATCTCACCTAACCCACACACCACTGCAAATAACCATAGGGAAGACATACATCGAACTCGCCCACGTAGCACCTATACACCAAGAACAAGAGAGATTAGCATATGCATATCATCCTCACCACCCCGAAACCCTCCGAACTGCAGCACGCGCATGCATAAAACGGGGAAACATACCCATCGTCGTCAACCCATACAGCACCGTCGTGATGGCCTTCTTCCGGAAACTCCAGTTCATGGGCCGGTAGGGGTCGTCGGGCCCGTCGAAGTCGACGATGGCGTCCTCGGTGGTCTTGGTGTGGGAGAGCGGGTGGGTGAAGCGGGCGGTTTGGCCGGGCTCGCGGCTGCGGATGCGCGAGACGAGCGAGTGCGTGCGGGTCTCCAGGGCGGCGGAGAAGCCCGAGGCGACGGTGGATTGTTTCTCGAGGGCGTTGGGGTCGTCGGGGTAGGCATTTTCGTTGGTGTTGGTGTGAGGTTGGGTTTGGGATTGCGAGTGAGTGGCGTGGTGGGGGGAATCGGAGGTGGTGGAGGTGGAGGTGGAGGTGGAAGTAGACGTGGATGAGATGACGGAATGCGATGAGGATAGTTGGTTTTGCTGCTGGTGGTGGTGGTGGTGGTTATGCGCATGCGGATGGGGATGGGGATTGCTGCTGCTGCTGCTGCTGCTGCCCTCGTGGGCCGGAAGTGACATGTTGATCTTTTCTTGGTATTTCCACAATTCAAATTCACCGATTCTCAACTATAGATAGATAAAGTTTCGACAACAGAATTTATAAACTGGAGAAAGAGTTCATGGCATGTAGGCTGCAAAAGTAACAAGAGTGTTTCTCCCGCAAGGTACTGAGTACACGGTTTGTATACTACGTAGATGAAGGAAGTCAAATAATAAGTGGGAGGAAGTCAACGTCACTCCCACGGAACAGTCCGCGCTTTTAATACACAGTACGTAGAATGGAGGATATACTTACATCCACTTGCAAAAAAAAAACTCTTGGGTGCCCACTTGCCTCGCTCTTCTCCACCGTGCCGTTGTCGGACCTCCGATCCCTGGGTCTTATCTCGGCGTTTGCTGGTTCAGTCGCCGAGGGTTTTTACTGGTTTGATAGATCCGTTATGTGTCGACTCTTTGTGGTGTATGTTGTATGTACTGTACATGTGTGCTGCTGTGATTGACCTGCAGCTCTGTCTGAGTATCTGCTTCACCGCACGACGATAGGCGTGACTATAGAAGGGTCCATCTGAAGTCTGGAATGCAAGAGAGCATGGCGCTACGACTAGAACAGGGTCTACCTGCCCTGCCCTGCCCTGCCCTCCAAGCAGCGGTATGAGGGACCAGCACTAGACTAAACATGCCGCAGTTGGACCTGCCTCACCTATCGACTAGCACTGATTAGCTACCATAGCTGGTTTAGTCTCAAATATCGACCAGCATCTGCACCCTTCGGCGCGCAAAGCCGAGCACCGTCACCTGGACGGCCTCAGCTCACCGATCGCATCCTAGTCACTTGCAGTGCTCGAGACAGCTTGAAAAGTGACTCACACCTGTCAAACCGATCACACACATCGACGACCCATACAGACAAGAGGTTTCAGCCCTGTCAAGACGAAAGGGCAATCCTATCCTCGGCAGTATCGGAAACCATCCGTCGGAGCATCCGCCCGACTCCTCGGACATATCGCTGGGTCAACTCGGGTATAAATCCGGTGCCGGGTTTCCGAGACGCCACTTCAAACTAACTCGGAGGACAGCCGACACGGCGCTGAACTTTGTCCACTGGGCAAGTCAATGACACTGAACCGCGGTGTATAGTACGTCCTGTGGATCTTCGCTATAACGAAGCAACTGGGCTTGGTCGATTGGTTCTTTGCAACCAGAGAATCTGCTCGGTATACTCAGCATGTTCAGGGTAGATATGTCCATCGTCAGGACAAAAGATGGACACGTGACCATCGGCTTCAAACTCGCCTAAATGGGTATAGTTTTTAACTAGGTATCTAGGTAGGGTCCTTTCTCGAACTCGGATCCGGTACAGTGGACTAAAACCTACAGCCATGCCATTGAAGTCAAAATCGCATTCAATCCCCGTCTATCTATCCCTGATCAGTTCGCAGTGTGTAAATATATTCCTCTGTATCATGTACGCCGGCGGATATTTGTACAACCCGTCATTAGATCTCGTCAATCGTCATCGACTTTCCCCCCCCCTCCCCCCCGGTATGTATAGATGCCCCAATCCCCCTTAGACGCTGGCACTGTGAGCCGTTTCCCACTTCTGCACCGCCTCCATAGCCGCCGTGACCTTCAGGCCGATGCGCGCGTCCAGCTCGTAGCTCTCCCACTTGGCCGCCTTCTCGAGGTGCTCCTTGCACTCCCGCACCTGCCGCCGCTCCAGCTGCAACGGGTCGCTCTCACCGCCAGTCTCCTCGGCGGTGACCGCCTTGCCGTGCAGCGCCTGGTACGTCGGCCGCTCCATCCACAGGTTGGCGGCCATTTCGAAGTGCGCGACCGGGTAGATCCAGTTGTCGCGCAGATGGCCCGTGAACAGCGACTTGTCCTGCGTGAAGATCCCCGTCTGGATCAGCTCCTTGGCCTCGTCGTGCCGCCGCATGGCGCGGAAGACAGCCGCGCGCAGGATCTGCAGGATGGCCTTCTCCTCCGGGCCCTCACGCGCCCAGGTCGCCTTGTTGTCCGGGCCCTCGGACCACGCCAGCTTCGAGAGCGACTCCTCCAGCTGGGCCTGGGTCATGCGGCTGTGGCCATTCCAGAAAAAGATCATCTCCTCAATCGGGTCAACGCCCACCGCCTCGACCAGGGAAACCTTCCATTCCTTGGCGCGGGCCTCCCACTTGGCGATCTTGCGCGAGACAAACACATCGAAAGGCAGCTGACGCGCCATGAACTTCTTCTTGCCGGCCAGGGGCGGGGCCGCGCGGAAGTACTCGGTCGCCTTTTCGGCGTGCTCGGCCGCGGCGGTGGGATCGGTCGTTGATAGACCCCGATACAGGCTGAGATGCGAGGCGCCCGCAATGTAGTAGTAGAGCGAGCGAGACCACGAGTTGAGATCCACGCACTAACAAGGTCAGTCAGTGGTTACAGTTTCAGGTTGCTCGGAAGATGACCTACCTCGATGAAAGACTCGGCACACAATTCGTATCTGTGGAGATACATCGCATTCAGACTGCGTTCGAATATTCGCAGTGCCTCGACCTGCTTGAGGGGACTGCGGTCCTTTCCGCACAGAAGCTCCAGGGCAACGTCCAGCTTGCGGTTGGCGCCATTCATGCGCGACTCTTCCAGCAGCCACAGCTGACTTTTAGGGAACCGTTCCCTCATCAATGCCAACAGAGCCTCGAGGCGCTCTTGCGGGTAGCCTTGCACGTCGTCCGGCGAGGCGGGATCGGGCATGATGTCGCAGTAGCGGACGAACCCGTTGGAGTAGCCGAGAATTGCGAACGCGGAGAGAGCTCCGATCAAATTGTGGAACTTGCTCGCCTGCCACAACATCTTGAGCCCGCGCTCCTTGTCTCCGTGGAACCCGATGATCCCGAGCAATTTACTGAACACGGGCGGGACCATGGAGATCAGGACCAAAAGAATGCCGAAACAGAAGTTAGCGCCCGAGTGGATGAACACGTCGATCTGGTTCTTGAAAATGTCAGACTCCGGATCCTGGTCCAGCATATCCGAAGTAGTGCTCAAGGTCTCAGTGCTGCCCGTGACCGTCAGACCGGTCAGTTGCTTCGCAAGCCCGGCGGCGTCCACAGGCGATGCAGGAGCCGTGCTGGTCGTGACACTGGGCCCTGGAAGTTTGGTCGAAGAGCTGTTTCGCTCCGTGGGAGTGCTATCTCCGGAGCTCCGCTCCTGCATGATGAACTTCTGCTCCATTTTCAGAATGGCATCCAGCGTGATGTAGGCCTTGCGTAGTCGGTAGAACCCTTTGATACTCTCCGTCAGACTCTCATTCAGAACCCCGACAACGGCACTCATGAGCTGCGCCATCGCCTGGCAAAGAGCGAATTCCGTCCCGGGCGCATAGATCTGGGAGTGGTACGAATTGGGCGCATTGGAGTTGTGTTGCGCTCGATGTTGATCATTGGCGGCACTGGTTTCGGCGGCATTGAGTCGCTCCGACGCTAAGAAAAACTCGCCGTCAGTAGGTTCCTGATTCAGTAGATCTAGTAGTGGCGACCTACCTTGACGCATGATCTCCTGTTCAAAGCCCAAGGTGGCACGGATGAAAGCGACCACACCTCTTCCGAGCTACACGACCGGACAAAAAGGATCACCGACCTCGATCAGCCGAGGCACAAAGCTCGTCCAGGATAGCATACATACATTGTGGAAGGAGGAAGTGCCTTCCGAGAGGCCATCCTCAGCACCGTCCACGTCGTCATTGAGGATCAGAGTAGCGGCTGTGTCCCGACTTCGTTAGAACCAATATACACCTGCAGCGCTAGCCCCCGGAGAGAGCGGGGGTGTTTTAGATCAGAGATTCGAGGTTCATGCAAAGAACATACCCCTCATGGCGTCCTCAACTATTCAAAGGCTTGACGTCAGCATTTCGTACGTATTGGTTTTGGCGCCGAACCTCGACACATGGAAAAAGGATTCACTCACGATCCCGTAGTTCGGACAAAGAGTCCAAAGACTGGGTGGAGGCATTGGCGCCCGGCTTCTTGCCGTACAGCCATGAGCCGACTCGAAACATCGTGGAAGGGGGGAGAAATCAAGATAGATTCGGAGAAGAATAAACAAATAAACAATTAAACAAAGGGAAGGTGAGCACGAGACAATTTCGAGGGGGAGGAAGGGAGAGGGATCAGATTCCAGTCACGAGCCGGAGGGGCCCGGAGCCCAAACGAAGAAAAGGCAGACGGAGAGGGAGAGACGGCGAATTTCCCATCAAAGCAGCAGCGTCGAGAGTTTCCGGGGACATAACCTTGCAGAACAGGGCGGGGATGAGAAATGGAAGGGCAGACAGGGTAGAAAATATTCCTTGGGGGAGAGAGGAAAGAAGCTTGACTTGGGGGAGCGATATTATAAGCACAAGTATCACTATGAAGGGTCCGGGAGTGATCTAAGCCGTGTCCACTTGCGGCGACGGCGGCGGCGGTGCGGCGAGGCGAGGCGGAGTTAACGCTGGTGGTAGACTCGAAACCAATAATTTGAAACGATAAGAATAGATGATGCAGCTCCGCTTCTTTGATTATTCCCGACCGGGAGAGGATGTTTTCACCCGGTAAGGACTAGGAGAGATTTAACTACTTGTAACTTGAAGGCAGCCTTGTTTAGGCTGAAGCTTGAGTGTTGTTGCTTAACTCCGTTGAATCAGACAAGATGTTGCGTCAGAGGGAATGAAGGCATAATGATTCGAGTTGTGCATAGTGGACAATCGATGTGTAGATTACTAATGCAGATTACTATGAAGCTAAGCCCAGTTGGGTGGAGCATCGGAGCTGAGTGCGGTGAGCTCTCCCCGTTGCTGCTGCTGCTGCTGCTGCTGCGGCTTGCGCGCGCTTGCTTGCTTGCTTTCCCCTCATCATCATTCCCATCATCCCCATCAATCATCTTCCAACACCACCTTATTCTCAACCCACGATTCGAACCGGGATAGACTCTCCACCACATACATTCGAGCTCCCATTCGCGCCAACCACCCACCCAACACCCCAAAACCACCTCGACACAACGCCCCCCGAACCACCACCCTCTTTCCCCGCCCACCATGTCCAGCACCCAACCCCAAGACAAGGCCGAACCCAGCCAACAGCCCCAACAACAACAGAAGCCCTCCGTCCTGGAAGAGGACGACGAGTTTGAGGATTTCCCCGTGGAAGGTGCGTACACCACCTCCTTGTCTAACGAATGACACCCACACCCACGCCGCATCACGATCCCGTACACCATCCACCCCCCTCTCCCCAAACCCAACCCCAAACCCAACCCCACTCAATCTGACCAAAAAAAAAAAAAAACAAAACAGACTGGCCCCAAGACGAAACCGAACAAGGCACCACGGCCGCCAACGGCACCGACGCCCACCTCTGGGAGGAAAGCTGGGACGACGACGACGCCGCCGAGGACTTTTCGAAGCAGTTGAAGTAGGTCTTTCCCCCCTCAGCTTCCGGCCCAGCTCTTCCCTTTAGGGGCCGTGTTCTCTGGACGAGTGCTCGGGTGCCGTGGTGATGCGGTTTGCGTGTCCCACGCTCTCGCCCGTCGAGTCTGGATGGTTTGGTTTTGAAGCATACTACATGTTTCGGGATCAAGGCTAATTGATACGTTTCTTATGGCTACAGAGAGGAGTTGAAGAAGGTGGATGCGTCGCGTTGAGTTTTTACTGTGGGAAGATGGTGATGAGGGAGGGTTGTTGGGGGGATATTGTGATGTCGATGTTATGAAGAATGAAATTTGAGTTCGATTTTCCCTCTTTTCTTTGCTTCCGCGGGGGGGGCGATGGAAGGGTTTGTGGGTCGTAGAGGGGTTTGTTGCTGGGTTGGTAGGGGAGGGGAAATGCAGTGGCTATGGGAGGGTGCCAGGTGATGTAGGCGTCTGCCCCTAGTGCTGCTGGAGGGGGGCGTAGGTGCTCGTGTCGGTTTACTGGCTCAAGTAGAGTGGGATGTTTCTTTCGAGCGGGGAGGGTCTGCTGTACTCTGGCACGGTAGACGCGGTCTCTTAACGGACTGCAAGAGTACTCTATAAACGAACTGCAAGAATACTAGAACACTACACATAAACATCTAGATGATAAGGCAAGGAGCTTCCCAATCTACACACTTTCTAGTCTACACACAAGCTCCGGCCCTCCCACCTACCGTATTCACAGCTTAGACCCCGTCACTGAGCAGAAACCTCGGATCAGAAAGAAGTACAGTCAAAAGCAGTTGGAATTATCATCATCCTTGTACATTACATTCGTTGAAAGCATAAGACCGCACGAGAAATTCCCCGAGATGCAGACAGACACGCAAGGGGACAGACGAACAACATAACGCACGCATATATGCACACAATCTCTCCCTCCCACATCTACCCCCCCCCCTCCCCCCCGCGGCACGCCTACACGGGACGTCCGTGCCCTACGCCTCCGGTGAGACATTAGATATATCGGTAAAAATTTTTACTTACTGGACAGAGCAGAGACGCCGGGGAGGTCCTTGCCCTCGAGGAGCTCGAGGGAGGCACCGCCGCCGGTGGAGACGTGGCTGAGCTTGTCCTCGACACCGTACTTGGCGGCGACGGTGGCGGTGTCACCGCCGCCGATGATGACGATGGAGCCGGACTGGGCGGCGTCGACGACGGCGTTCAGGGTGTCCTCGGTACCCTTGGCGAAGGGCTTCATCTCGAAGACACCGCAGGGCCCGTTCCAGAGGATGGTCTTGGCCTCGGCGATGACCTCCTTGTACAGGGCGACGGACTTCTCACCGACGTCCAGGCCCATGAAGCCGTCCGGGATGCCCTCGGCGTCGGTGGCCTTGCCGGTCTTGGCGTCCTCGGCGAACTTGTCGGCGGTGATGTAGTCGACGGGCAGGACGACCTTGACGTTGTGCTTCTTGGCCTTCTCCATGACCTCGCCGACGATCTTGCTGCCGGCCTCGTCGAACAGGCTGTTGCCGATCTTCACGCCCTCCAGCGTCTTCTTGAAGGTGAACGCCATCGCGCCCGTGATGATCAGGCTGTTGACCTTGGGCAGCAGGTTGTCGATCAGCTGGATCTTGTCCGAGACCTTGGCCCCGCCCAGGATGGCCAGGAAGGGCCGCTTGGGGCTCTCGAGCGCCTGGGCGAAGTAGTCCAGCTCCTTCTTCACCAAAAAGCCGGAGGCCTTCTGGGGAAGGTCGACGCCGACCATGGAGGAGTGAGCACGGTGAGCAGTGCCGAAAGCGTCGTCTGGTTGTGAGAGAAATTTAGGTTAGCTTCGTACAATGCATTAGCCAAACCAAAACGTACTGATATAGATGTCACCCAGGGCAGTCAGTCCCTTGCGGAACTCAGCAACCGCCTCCTTGTCGGCCTTGACCTTCTTGCCCTCAGCGTCCTTGGAGCTTCCCTCCTCCTCGGCGTGGAAACGCAGGTTCTCCAGGAGAATGATCTGGCCGCCGCTGGCCTTGTTGACGGTCTCCTCGACCTCCTTGCCGACGCAGTCCTTGGTGAAGATGACGGACTTGCTCAGCAGCTTCTCGAGCTCGGCCTGGACGGGCTCCAGGCTGTACTTGGGGTTGACCTTGCCGTCGGGGCGGCCAAGGTGGGACATGAGGATGACCGCCTTGGCGCCATTCTCAACGGCGTACTTGATGGTGGGGAGAGCACCAACGATACGCTGGTTGTTGGTGATGTTCTTGCTGGCGTCAAGGGGGACGTTGAAGTCGACCTGTCAGTCCAGGGGTTAGCATGGGGGGTTCAATTGCAGCAGCAGCAGCAGCAGCAGCAGCAGCAGAGAAAGTGAGGGGTAAACCTACGCGGATCAAGACACGCTTGTCCTTGAGGTCGACGTCAGTGATAGCGAGCTTGTTGGAGAGAGACATGGTGACTAATGAATCCGAGGGAATTGGTTCGGAGAAGGAAGGAAGAAGAAGAGAGAGAGAGAAAGGAAAATTGGAATGGGCTTTTTACTTTATGAGCACCGAGGGAGACTCGTCGAAAGATCTCACGGTGACCGAGTCTGGTTACAGCGGGTTTGGCAGACTGGCGGGGTAATTGTTTTGGGAATTGGTGGGGCGGCCGGTGAGCTGTGCTGGAGAGATTCGCCTGCTGCTCGGGCTGTTGCGGGACTGATGTCACTGCCAGACACATCAGTCAATCCCGCTTCGGATCATATAGGGATTGGACTGGCCAGTCGGGCCTAGTAGTCACTGACATTCAGAGCCTAGAGCCTAGAGCCTAGAGCCTAGATGTATACTCCGTACTCTTACTTTACCGGGTCTACACCCCATGGGCAGCTATAGCCATCTCGGCTCTGATGGAACTATCCTCTCCGTCCCGTTCCGTGATCCTCCCCCCGACCCCGGAGAAGTCATCCACCGTGGACCAAACAGCCAATTCCCCAACCCCTCGGCACTGCTGGACAAAAACAAAACATGCACTGTGTATTTCTCTTCATCTGCTTCTTAGAACAATCGAAACACATGTTTATTAGTGAGCGAAACACCCCTAAACGCGCATCAAACAACATTGCCGGCATGGAAGATAACCGAGACTCCACCCATGCGACAAGAACAAGCAATTCCCCTACCCAACCGTCGGTATACAACGCCCAGTAAGCATACAAAAGATCGAAAGCAGAGCCTAATGAAACAAGATGGAATGAAAGAATGGCACTTTCACACAATCCCCAATATGCCTAAAGATGAAAGGTCGTTCCTTTCTTTACTTTACTCTTCCTCCGAAGAGTTGGTCAAGGACAGATAAGCAGTCCAGGCGATACCGACAGAGGACACAAAAGGCTATATAGTATTTGGTTAGCATGGCGCAACAAAACACCGGACACCGACCATGGGAACTTACAATCTGGAACTGGATGGGAATGACGCGGAAGTTGAGGATCTGGACGGCAGGCCAGAGAACAAAGTTGGCCTTCAGCGTAGGCAAGTACACGTCTTGGAACTTGCGCGTCAACGCCCGCTTGCCACCACCTTCAGCCACCGTCATGAACGTGAAGAAGCACGCCAAACCTGTACGCCTGGTTAGCGATCCATCCGGCCGCACACAGTAACATGACGCTAGGGTTCCTCATACCGAAAGGGGCGAACATGAGCTGGTCGAAAGCCACCCGCTTCAACGCCGGAATGCTCGGGTTCTTCTTCGTGAGAGGGAAAGTGCGAGACAAGAAGCCGAACCAGTGAAATTGCACCGGGGCCATGAAGAAGCCGTATGACATGAACCGGGTGAGGCGCTCAAAGTCAAACGCTGGGATCGCGTGTCGCGCATGGCCCAGCTCCCCGAGAGCAGGCGGCTTTTCCTTGTCTAGATCGTGGATCTCAATCGAGATGAAGTCCCCACCATTGGATGAGCGGCGTGCGGAGCCAGCTCTGACAGCCGTGATCAGTTGTGCTACAGTGTCTGCGATTCCACCCAGAATCTAACGTCCCCAATCCACAGTCAGTATGGGGTGTCTCAAATGCATCTGCCGCATTGCGCTTATTTGCGGACTCTTACCGCATTGGTGACCATAGTAGTGAGGACTGTAGGCGACAAGATGGGTCAGTTTACTGGCAGAACGCTCCAGGGCCGGTCGCTGAACTCCTACCTGGTTTCTCCGAATAGTAGGAGTTGAATTTGGCGGCAAGCCGCGTTGCCGCCGCCATCTCGATAAGAAAGATTATCGTATGAAGCAGTGGCTATGGGTGAGAAATCGACGAGGGGCAACGTCAGTCTCAAGTCTTCGTGTAGTGGGAAGAAAAAGAGGTATTTAAGAAATGAGATATGTAGTGGTGAATTGTGTAGTAATGTGAAATTGTGGTAGTTTAAGAAAGAAGAGATCAAGAGTGTCTATCTAGCACATACCAAGCGACCGTAGATGTACCGCCGATTGAGTCCATCGAGAATGCTGCGACGACCAGCGGAGAACATGACGGAGACAGATTTCAATAATGTAATGGGGGGAGGAGGAATTTCACGGGATGGAAGAAAATCGAAGGCGAGGGCAAGGAAAGGCCGGGCTGGCAGAGAGGGCGAAGGTATGACGCAAAGGATAGATAAGTTTAAAAAAAGGGTTCGGGGTTTGGGTGGGTGCACAGGCAACAACTGAATAGCACGCAGTAAGAAAGGGGGATGGGAAAGAGGTTGGGATCGTCTGTCAAGTGGGAACAGATGCGATGAAGTAAGAGGAGACAGGAAGGTGAAGGAGATAAAATGTCGATGATAAAATGAGCCTCTTCGTCCAGCGAGTAAATCAGGCCAAGTCAGCAGGACTTTTAGGGGTGTTTGAGGGTTGGAGGTTGGAAGTTGAGGCAGTGAAGATGCGCAAGATCGAGGTCATACTACAGTCAGACAGTCAGACAGTCAGACAGGACAGTCAACTCCATCATCATTCAATGACCCTCTCCCTCTCCCTCCTTCCCCCTCCTCCACTTGCGTGATCTTCCGCCCTTCTCCGCCCGGCAGACCGACCGGCCCCCCTCCCTTCATTGCCGCTTTAGGGCTGAATTGCCGCCTCCTCCCCTCCTACGCTACCCTCCTAGACTAGTTCACGCCCCCATCTTGTTGCCGCTTTAGCTTGGCGATGTTATACTGTGCTGTACCGTACTCTTTTCTTGGTTGTGCATCATCTGGCATAACAATATAGTTTATTAACTTATTCCATACAAATACTGCACAAAACCTGCACCAGGGTCATCCTCTCATGGCCGTTACGCATCAGTCCAGGCATGCAAGCAAACAGATCTATACACAAGTTTACATCGTAGGCGGCATTCAAGCTGTCATGTTCCTGTCAAAGGAGAGAATATCCGGGAGGTCGCGGATGTCCGTCGTTTCGTTCGTATTGACATCCACCAGGCGCACGGCTTCCAGACGCAGGGCGCCCACGGCCAATGGCAACAATTTCAATTCGGTCGCAAAGCAAGTCCCCGGCAGAAGTGGTCTGTGAGGCTCGTCGTTAATCATACAGTCATCCACTCAGACAGAATACTACTTACCCAGCGCGAACATCTGTACTCATGGAAACAAGCTCGGCTTCCTGGCCAGCCACACTCTTCTGGAGCGCATGCACGATGTTGTCGTCCGTCACGGCTTCTGCAACCTGGGCTTCCTTGCGAATAGATGCGGATGAGGATGATGGACGCGCCGTATGGGTCCGGGGATCGGGTCTCTTGCGTCGAGGAATGGCTATCATGGCAAACTTTCGCGCGGTTGCGGACCGATTCACAATGAAGACATTCCACGAGAATGGCTTGCCGACTTCCACTCGGGGAGGTCCGGTGAACGTGATTGACACTCCAAGATCTGTCGTAGAATATGCTCTATCTCTTAAAGAGCTACGGTTAACTCCTGTTCCGCCTGCCATGGCGCTGTTCAGATTTTGATTCATAGGAAGGCTAGCCGGACGGTTGTTCCGCTGCAGTGCCTGGCTGGGAGCACCAAAGGTAGGATTGAGAGGCATAGAAAAGTCCACGTTGGTCCTCCACTGCATCAGGATTCGTGGGTTGCAGTTGTGCGATAGGTGAATCACGGCCTCCAAGGAGATATCGAGAACACTGACCAAGACCGTCGTTGACGGACTTGGATTCTGCCCGTCCTCAGGGGTTAATTTATATACCAGGGTGATATCATCTCGCGGTAGGCATCTGATGGGTGGGACAAGCCCCGGCGCATCTGAAAGTGTCTCGATGGTTCCGTCTGACAACCGGAGCTCGGCCTTGTCAAAGGTCACGTCGCATGTGAGAAATGGTGTCACTTCAAAGTCAAGGCTGGCGACGGTGGTTGGCCGCCCGCTATAAGAGTTCAGCCGAGCATATCGTATTCTTGCACTTGCAGCTGGAACAACTCGGATCGGATGCCCCGAACGTTGTTGAATATGGTAGATGGGATCTTCGGTCTGTTGTGCCGGGACAACGCGTAAAAGTCGGGAGGCTGGGAGGAAGGGATCTTTGAGAGAGAGGGATTTATCCGACGACAGAGGCTGCAGTACGTTGGCGGATGCTGGTATCAACGGTGGAAGGTAGTCGTCCCCACGAGATGTTTGTTGTTGATTCTTCGCTAAATTGAGGTTGGCGGAGGCGATGAAAAGAAGAGAAGGATGCGTGATGCGTATGCGCGGGCGTTCTATAGCAATTAGCACAACCAGAGCAATGGCTAAAGTTCTGGAAGTTCCTTACTGAGAAACGCTTCGATGCTCCAAATCACATAGACATGGTTGCCTTCCCCTGTATCACCCTCGAACTCATTGACAACCACAAGCGGCTCCTGTGCCTTGACGGCCCCTGAGAAGATCAGGTCTCTGGTCGAAGTCGGGTTCTCCGCGACAGTCTCGGCTGGATCGATAGCAAAGGCGTCCAGGCCAACCTCGAGTTGTGGAAGGTATTGCTTCAGGCTAGCAGGTGAACAATTGGAGAGTCGGAGAACAATGCGGACGGTGCAGAACTCATCTGTAGCCCGCTATAGATGAGTAAGAGACAGAGCTCGAGTTAGACGACAGGTCATAACATACCGAAGAAAAGAACGGAACGTTGTGGTATATGCGACAGGACAGAGGTCAGGTCTTCTGCGCCTCCTTCCAGAGCAGACGTCAGAGCAGCCTCCAAGTCTACATCTGAAGCATGCGGGACAACTGTATCTAGAACAGCATGCCTGAGGAATTCCCCGGGGATATCAAGACTCGGCATACTAGCGGGGTGACGATGATCGCATAGTCCCCTGCCGGTGATTGAACGAACAGTGATTGACACACGACAGATCGACCGAGAATCACAAATAAATCATCAGCCAGTGAGTTAGTCGCATGGCAAGCCAGGGACCGACAAATGGAGGAATGGGGACACTCCATGTTATTATGGGACGGACGGACCCTGGGAAGGAGTCAATGCAAACAGGACAAACAGGACAAACACTCTTAGTGCAGGAACCCGGAGGAGCTTCTGCGAACCACCGCCGCTCCGTGTTACTTTTTCTCGCCTTCCATTCATCGCAACCGCACGTCCCCTTCATCTTGGGAGTCTCTGCCCTGACAATATGAATCCGATGAATGGTCCCGGCGGTGCGCCTGCCCTATGGCAGGAGGCCCGCAACGCTGAGGGTCGCGTCTACTACTACAATGTTCAGACCAAAGCCACGCAATGGGCGAAGCCCGTCGAGCTGATGACACCGGTTGAGGTTTGTAAACCCCTTTCTATCCCTGTTCTGCATGGACCCAGGCTAACTTGACACGTTCTATATCTCTAGCGCGCGTTGGCGAATCAACCATGGAAGGAATACACGACGGATAACGGGCGGAAATACTGGTACAACACCGAAACCAAGCAGAGCACCTGGGAGATTCCAGATGCTTACAAAAATGCCCTGGCGCAGGCTCAGCCTCCTCAGCCTCCCCCTGTAGCGTGAGTGGCGTGGTTAGCTGTGTTGATGTATCTGTGAATGTTGTACTGACGGATTCCTGAACAGAGCTCCGACATTCGTTGCAGGTGGAGTCAGCTCGTTTCCATCGTACCCCCAGCAGAGAGAACGCGATGACTACGATCGAGGCTATGGCGACCGCCGTGGAGGCTATAATTCAATGGACGCTAATGGTCTTGCAGCGGCACCCGTCTTGGGGAACCAGCAAGCCGACCCCGAATACGCTTCCCTTGAAGAGGCCGAGAGTGCATTCATGAAGATGCTGAAGCGCCACAATGTGCAGCCCGACTGGACTTGGGAGCAGACAATGCGCGAGACCATCAAAGACCCTCAGTACCGTGCCCTGAAAGACCCCAGAGACCGCAAGGCAGCCTTTGAGAAATACGCGGTCGAGGTTCGCATGCAGGAAAAGGATCGGGCGAAAGAAAGATTCGCTAAGCTCAGAGCAGATTTCAATACCATGCTGAAGCGTCATCCTGAAATCAAGCACTACAGCAGGTGGAAGACCATTCGGCCGATCATTGAGGGCGAGACCATTTTCAGGTCCACGGACGACGAGGCTGAGAGACGCCAGTTGTTTGAGGAATACATTATTGAGCTCAAGAAGGAGCACGTTGAACAGGAAGCGGTCAAGCGCAAGGCTGCCATGGACGAGTTAGTCAATATCCTGAAATCCTTGAACCTGGAGCCATACACACGCTGGTCTGAGGCGCAGGCGATCATTCAGTCCAACGACAAAGTCCAGAGCGATGATAAGTTCAAGACTCTTAGCAAGTCTGATATCTTGACTGCATTTGAGAATCACATCAAGGCTCTGGAGCGAGCATTCAATGACGCCCGTCAGCAGCAGAAAGCCGCGAAGGCTAGAAAGGAGCGCCATGCTCGAGAGCAGTACATTGAGCTCCTTAAGGAATTAAGATCACAGGGCAAGATCAAGGCCGGCAGCAAGTGGATGAATACTTATCCTCTGGTTAACGAAGACCCCCGGTACCTTGGCATGCTGGGAAATTCTGGGTCGTCTCCGATTGATCTCTTCTGGGATGTGGTTGAGGAGGAGGAGCGGTCGCTGCGCGGCCCACGCAACGATGTCTTGGATGTACTTGATGTGAGAACCCCTCGTATTCCAACCTTGAATACTCCGCTAACGTAGCTTCTAGGACAAGCGCTTTGAGGTCGCACCGAAGACCACTTTCGAAGAGTTTAACGCGATCGTATCCGCCGATCGACGGACAGCGAACATTGACCCCGAAATCCTGCAACTGATCTTCCACCGGATCCAAGAAAAGGTCATTCGACGCAACGAAGAAGAGAAGCATGCCGCGGATCGTCATCAGCGACGTGCCATCGACGCACTCCGCTCGCGCATCAAACGCCTTGAACCCCCTGTCCGAGCAATAGATACATGGGACCAAGTACGACCAAGGATTGAGCGGTTCGAGGAGTACAAGGCTCTGGAAACCGACGATGTCCGCCAGTCAGCCTTTGACAAGGTGATCCGGCGCTTGAAGGAGAAAGAAGAAGACGCTGAGAGAGACCGGGAGGTCCGTGACCGTGATCGCGGCGGCAGCCGTCGGGACCACCACGATCGGGACCGGGACCGTGAGCGCGACCGCGACCGCGATCGCGACCACCGCAGCAGTCTCTCCCACCGTGGCGAACGGCGAGGAGCATCCAGCCGCATGAGCCGGACTCCGGAGCCCGACGCCTATGAGGCCGACCGCCGCAAAGCCCAGGCCGACCGCGAACGCTCCTACCGCAAAGCCAGCGGCCTGTCGCCGGTGCGTGAGCGCCGCGAAGACCGGGATCGAGACCGCGAGCGCTACCGCGAGCGCGAGCGGGATCGGGATCGGGATCGTGAGCGTGAGCGGGACCGTGACCGTGACCGAGACTGGGACCGCGACCGCAGCGCTCGCTCCCTGAGCCACTACGACCGCGAGCGCCGCGATCGCGAAGAGGAACGTGAGCGCCTCTACCGCACCCGCGGCGACCCTCGCGGCAGCCGCGACGAACTGGACTACGGCGCCGACACAAAGAGCATCGCCAGCACCGACCGGCGGCGCAGACGGGACAGTGACGCAGAGAGCGTAGCCAGTCGCTCTGCCAAGCGGCACCGGCGGGAAAGCCGAGAACGCGATCGCAGCCGAGGAGCTCGCAGGGGGACCGCAGGTGAGAGAGACCGGCGCGACCGAACCCCCGTCGCCGGCACAGGCGCCGCTGCGGCGCCTGCTTCGGCCACCGCAGGCCCTGCCGCAGCCGTGGCGGAAGAGGCCAAGAAAGAGGAGAAGGCAGTCCATTCCGGTAGCGAGGAGGGTGAGATCGAAGAAGATTGAACCAGCCGGTTACGATTCTGTACCCGTCACGCTGGTAGATAACGCCCCTCGACAAATGCCATTCTGGCGGAGCTCCTTTCTTTTTATGCCCTCCCCTCACCTCGAGGCTTAGACAGAATACAGCCGAATCCATGCCTTCTTCTCGATTTGACAACGATTGTACGGATGTTGTGTCCTAGATTTTGTATTCTAGCGTAGGTTATATAGTATTAAGAGCGCTTATCAAATCTACTGGAGTTGAGATGGAATTCGGGACCATAACTTGGTCAGATATAACTCAATCAACATGTGGGATAGTAAATAAGGACCCAAATGAACAACATTGCCTAAGGAAGGTTACTGTGTAGTCTGAAGTCCACCGTAGAAGAGGAGAAAAGAGCGCATTGAGTGGTTCGGAACAATCGATATATATTTCCTTTATTTCCGAGTCAACAACCACAAAGCATCAACTTGTTCCTTGCCTTTATAATCACACTCCTCTCAGATTACATTAAGAGCTGAGCCTGTCATTAGCCCAAGGCTAGTGACCTACACCGTAAATACAATATAAAAGAAGGAATATATGCCTCGAACTCTTATAGACAGTGGCTGCTTTCCACCCACCACACGCATACACCGACAACTTGGACCCTCAGCCAAACCTCGTTGTCAGCGATTCTAACCATTTCATGCGATGGATGAAAAGAACAAAAGAAGTATATTCACGAGGAAAGAAAGAAAGAAAGCAACAACAGAGAATCAACTTTTAACACGAACAGCAAAAGAAAAAAACGAAATTTCAAATTCAAACTCCGACATGACTTTGACGCCAGCTCCTTCCCACCCAAACCAAAAAACCCATTTGTGTGAGAAAAACCCCCATGTTGAAAATGATTCTCTAAACGGAACTCTTGAATTAAAAGATTCGTGCTCGCGTTTTCTTCAGTCCAACTTTTCGTAGCATCGCGGGAGAAAAAAGAAGACAGATGCCAGCAGCCTGTTGCGGGGTTTATTCGGGGCCGGAGGATGATTGGGAAAATGGAGGGAAGGCGGATCGAAAGGGGGGCGACAAGTTCAGCGGTCGGCTGAGGACCCTTTCACTACAGCTGGAATAGAGGTGGGCATTGAGGGAAAATTCCCGCCTACCACTGCTACAGATGATAGTTGAGCATGTCGTCTTCCTCGTCATCATCTTTATCCTCCTCCCCCTCCTCCTGCTCCTCCTCCACATCACCACACCCTGCACCGCGCCGGCGACCGCCGCGACGACGGCAGCGCCGGCACAGAGCTGCAGAGGTCCTGGTAACGCCGAAAAACGCCACTAGCCGAAGGTATCTCCTCCGGTCCCGGCGACGTCGGTGGTGGCGGCGCCGCCGGTCGGAATCGCGGCCGTCGCCATGACGAGGCACGCGGTTATGTTTGCCGAAAACAGCCGTTTCACTGCTCTTCTTCCAAGAAGAACTGGGAGGTGCGAGGTTAGTACGATGCTGAGGCATGCGACAAGGGACAGAACTTACGTAGTTGCCCTGGAGCTTCTGCTCCTGGTCCATCTGGGATTGGTGCTTGTTGATACGGGGACGGTAGCTGTTGGGATCACGACGGAAGGTGACGTCCAGGTTCTTCAAGAAGGTGTTGCAACCAGTGACGAGGGACTCGGGTGAGTTGGCGTGCGCATCAATGGACGGCTTACCGTCGAAGACGATGACACGGTCAGCCAGGTAGGTGGCCATGATAAAATCGTGCTCGACGATGAAAGCGGTCTTCTTGGTGTGCATGATGAAACGCTTGATGACTCTGGCAGCCACGATACGCTGCTCGGAATCCAGGTAAGCACTAGGCTCGTCAATCAGGTAGATATCGGCGGGCATTCCCAGAGCCAGGACAATGGCGACACGCTGCAATTCACCACCAGACAAGTTCTGAACCTCCTGGTCGATGAAGTCGTCGATCTTGAGGGGCTTGTAGACATCGGTCTGGAACTGGGGCGACAGGAAAGCGGCCTTGATACGCTTGAAGAACAGCTGACGGACGGTACCCTGGAACTTGGGGGTGATCTTCTGGGGCTTCATGCTGATGTTCAAGCGGGGGATGGTGATGCCGTTATCGGGCTTCTCGACACCAGCAAGCATTCTACAGAAAGTGGTCTTTCCGGTTCCGTTCTCTCCCATCATGACGATGATCTCAGAGTCGGTGAAGTCACCGGCGTCGATCTTCAGGTGGAAGTTGCCAAGGGTCTTCTCCAGGCTCGGGTACTTGAAAGCACGAGCCTTGTCGACCATGAAGTCATCGCCAGATTCGGCGAGACGGAAGGTGAGAGACTCGTCACGGAACCGAAGGTTCTCGGTGGGGATGTGACCGTCCAAGAAAATGTTGATACCTTCACGGACCGAGGAAGGCAGAGTAACGACACCGTAGGCGGCAGGTCTTCCGTAGAGAACGCAAACAAAGTCGGAAAGATAATCAAGCACGGACAAATCGTGCTCGACAACAATGACATAGTCGTCGGGGCGGAGAAGCTCTCTGATGGTACGGGCAGCAGCCAGACGCTGCTTAACATCAAGGTAGGACGAAGGCTCGTCAAACATGTAGCTGCAGAAATGTCAGCGCTCATACTATCTCGAAGACCTGGTCATCCTTACACATCAGCCTGCTGGACACAAACCAGACCAATGGCGAAACGCTGAAGTTCTCCACCGGACAAATGGTCAATGTCACGGTCCTGAACCTGTCGCAGTTCTATGCATTCTGTCAGCAGAAGATATCGTCGACATGATGAACAATTATCTTACCCAGGACGTCCAGGATGTGGTCCAGGTTGTTCAGCTGAGTGCGGGCCTTGATGAGCGCACCGACATTCTTGACGGGTCCCTTGACGGCTCTAGGAATCTGATCAACGTACTGAGGCTTGACAACAGCCTTCAGGTTGTCTTCCAGGACCTTGGTGAAGTAGTCTGCAGGATGTTAGCGCGCTTGATTCTATTTAATCCTCTTATCGGTTCAGTTTTGACGTACTCTGCAGCTCGGAACCACGGAAGTACTTGAGAATCTCTTCCCAGTCGGGAGGGTTGTCATAACGACCAAGGTTGGGCTTCAATTTGCCGCTGAGAATCTTCAAAGCCGTACTCTTTCCAATACCGTTGGTACCGACGAGACCGAGGACCTGACCGGGACGGGGCATGGGAAGACGGTGAAGCTTGAAGCTGTTCGCAGAGTAACGATGGGTGACCTGAGTCTCCAAGTTGGTGGGCAAGTTGATGATGTGAATGGCACCGAAGGGACATTTCTTGGGACAGATACCGCAACCAATACAGAGGCGCTCGGAGATGAAGGCGATCTTGGACTCGGGGGTGACCTCGATACAGAGCTTGCCCGTACGGACGACGGGGCAAGACTTCTTACATTCCTGACGACATTTCTAAAAAAAAAAGATGGTTAGCAAAATGATGACGAGGATCTCATCAAGAGGTGATTGCAAGGACATACCTTGGGCTTGCACTGTGACGAGCAAAGCGATGCGTCTCAGTAATTGTTATATATGCGACAGGCCGTAGCATGCCTTTCATGCTGCGGGGTACTTGAGACTTACCTTGTCACTGTTGACAATGGCAACTCTGTTCACGTAGAATAGTTAGCTTACCCTTCTCCTTGAATGTTGGAATGAGACTGAACGTCCGCCGTGTAAAACATACCTGGTAAGCTTGTCGGACATGGTGCCTGAAGTTCAGATCAAATTGAACACGCGGGACAGTATGTGTATGGACAGAAAGTCGAATGCTGCAGTCAAGAGACGGGTACGTCGACGTAAACCGAGGTCTTGAGGGAATCAGACAGAAAACGATGCGACAGTTGTTCTGGCCAAACGGGAGAAACGCCAGATATCTGCGCAAAGAGCACCAGGGCAGGAGAAGAGGAGGGACGTTGCTGGAGATGCGCGACGAAGAGGGGCTCTGGGCGAGAAAACTTGCCGGGCATTGTGGGCAGCCGTGGCGGCCTCAGGCTGAGACATGCTCCTGCATTATTTCCTGTCGCAGTGATTGGTCCATGGTTCTGCCACCGAGACTCGACCGGAGGCAGCATTGATCCGCCCCGACACCCACGTGACTAGACACCCCCGCTATCCCCGTTGGGGTCTCGCTTGTGGCGCGCTAGGCCGTTTCAAGGCTGGTGGGTAGTTGCAGCCTGAAGGCTCAGGCGCTCCAGCCAATCCCTTCACAGCGACTCGTCCTCCTCCCGCCGACGTACAACTCTCTTCCTACTCCCTCATCAGTTTCTCAGCGGCCTCCCATCGTCCCTCTGCTGCCTCCACCAGTTCATCCTCCTCCCACCCCCCACCTTTTTCCTTTGACGTTTTCACAATTTATTGGTTCAGTCTCCCCTGAATCGGGGTCACCAAGCTATGGACTGTAAGTAATTTGTTCTCTTCTCCTTGCCTCGCAGGCGTGCTCTGGCACTGCCGGCTGCAGTACTTCTCCACGATCTCGACCCACCGGAGAACCTGTATTATATCTTGATCTGGTCGAGTAAAAGGGGTTCTGTGACCTCTTTGCTCATTGTATGCGTGGTTTCCTTTGCTTTTCCACGGATTTGATCTGCATTTTCCCCTCTGCTCCTCCCATCTCTTCACAACACACTCTGTCGCGTTCCATCGAATCCGTCATCAAAAACATGTCCTTGCATCATACCTTCATCTTCTACCTTGTTCCCCCGTCGATTCGACTCAATTCGGCTGGAATCTGCGTCGCGTATGTCTGTTTCATATGACACTGTTCCTTTCGTCCTCCCTCGGGCTTGTGCTGAGCTTCAATGCTGATGCGTATCGTCCTCAACAGCTACTAGCATGGTGATCCCATCAATTTCCGACCCCTCCGCAACAATGGGTTTGGTAAATGGTTATTCGGCCTCGTCTACTCCCAATACTGCCAGCATGAGGGATGAACTAGCCATCAGCGACAGTGGTAGTAACGCTTCCGATACTCATGCGAACCATACCGAACGCGATTCCTCATCTCCCGAAGCAGACGCCGCCGACGACTCCTACGATGCCGGCTCCCCAGATGCTGAGGGGGACGAGGACGCTTTTGAGACCGAGAACGACGTGAACGAGAGTAGCCAGTCCAGCGATGAAAACTCTTCATCGTCGGAACACAACCATGGCTACCAGCGTAAGTCACCGTCGGTCAATGAATCGGACTATATGCGACAGAATCCCGATCTTTATGGACTTCGTCGGAGTACCAGAGCGCGCACAACGCGTCAAGTAGTCGACTCCCCTTCTGAATCCGAGTCCGATGCGGTAGCACCCCGCTCAAAGCGTCGACGCGCCATTGTCTCACAACCGCCCTCCAAGCGGCCCTCCCGGTCTGCAACCCAGTCCTCATACTCTGAAGATTCCGATAGTGATGAGTACGGCGGAAGTCGGGCTCGCACAAACAGGGCTCGGCGGCGGAAACTTCTTCAGTCATCCTCGAACAACCTTCCTTCCCAGCCCGAAGTCCGGTTCTCCACAAGAAATGCGTCCCGGGTTTCTAATTACAACGAGGATGAAGATGATTCCATGTTTGAAGATGACCCAGACGAAGAGATGATGGACAATTACTGGGTCAATACCGTGGAGGATGATCGTCCAGCCGTCGATGTTGTGCTCAATCACCGCCTCAGGGAAGGCGTGGAGCCCAGTAGCCCCGACCTCAGTCGTCATGACTTTGAATTCTACATTAAATGGCAAGGGAAATCCCATTACCACGCGTCATGGGAAACCACAGAAGGCCTCGCCAATTGTCGTAGTACCCGCCGTCTCGACAACTACATTCGCAAAGTCCTCTCTGAAGACATCCGCCTACGAAATGACGAAGACGTCGCTCCTGAGGATCGAGAAAAGTGGAACCTCGACCGAGAACGGGATGTAGATGCTATCGAGGACTACAAGCAAGTTGAAAGAGTGATCGGTATGCGCGAGGGCGACGAGGGAACGGAGTACCTCGTGAAATGGAAACGCCTCTTCTACGACTCTTGTACATGGGAGGACGAAGACTTAGTCAGTAACATCGCGCAACGCGAGATAGACCGTTTCCTAGACCGTTCATCTCGCCCCCCGGTCTCTGACAAGTCGGAAACGAATCCAGCTACGCGGAAGCCTTTCGAAACCATCAAAGGTACACCGTCCTTCCTGCAGAATGGACAGTTGAAGGAATTCCAGGTTAAGGGTGTCAACTTCATGGCCTTCAACTGGGTGAAGAATCGCAATGTTGTCCTTGCAGATGAGATGGGTCTGGGGAAAACTGTGCAGACAGTCTCTTTCATCAATTGGCTACGGCATATACGGCATCAACAGGGCCCTTTCGTTGTCGTTGTCCCCCTCTCTACCATGCCCTCATGGGCGGAGACCTTCGACAACTGGACACCGGATTTGAACTACGTTGTTTATAACGGTAACGAAGCTGCGCGCACAGTCTTGCGAGAACATGAGCTTATGGTTGATGGGAACCCCAAGCGACCGAAGTTCAACGTTCTGTTGACGACTTATGAATACGTTCTGTTAGACTCAGCCTTCCTGAGCCAGTTCAAATGGCAATTCATGGCTATTGACGAGGCTCATCGGTTAAAAAACCGCGAGTCGCAGTTATATTTGAAGCTGCTGGAATTCAGATCTCCTGCCCGACTTCTGATTACCGGTACCCCGATTCAAAACAACCTGGCTGAGCTCTCTGCGCTCTTGGACTTTCTCAATCCAGGCTTGGTTGAAATCGATGCTGACATGGACCTGAACTGTGATGGTGCCTCACACAAGCTGGCAGAACTGACCAAAGCCATCCAGCCGTTCATGTTGCGTCGCACGAAGTCGAAGGTTGAGTCGGACCTTCCTCCCAAGACGGAGAAGATCATTCGGGTGGAGCTCTCGGATATCCAGCTGGAATACTACAAGAACATCCTGACCAAGAACTACGCTGCACTCAATGATGGCGCCCGTGGCCAGAAACAATCACTCCTTAACATCATGATGGAATTGAAGAAAGCGAGTAATCATCCTTTCATGTTTCCGAACGCGGAAGCTAGGCTTCTGGAAGGTAGTGCTCGTCGAGAGGACGTACTGAGGGCCATGATCACCAGCAGTGGTAAAATGATGCTTTTGGATCAGCTTCTAGCCAAGCTCAAACGCGATGGTCACCGCGTACTGATTTTTAGTCAGATGGTCAAGATGCTGGACATCCTGGGTGACTACATGGAGTACCGTGGATATACATATCAACGTCTCGATGGAACTATTCCCGCTGCTGCGCGTCGTCTAGCCATTGAACATTACAACGCGCCTGGGAGCAACGATTTCGCTTTCATTCTCTCTACTCGAGCTGGTGGTCTCGGGATTAATTTGATGACTGCAGACACTGTTGTTCTTTTCGACTCTGACTGGAACCCTCAGGCCGATTTGCAGGCGATGGCACGAGCGCATCGTATCGGCCAGACGAGACCAGTGAGCGTGTATCGCCTGGTTTCAAAGGATACGGTGGAAGAAGAAGTCATTGAACGAGCAAGAAACAAGCTTCTCCTTGAGTTCATCACTATCCAGCGTGGTGTGACCGACAAGGAGGCCTCGGAGATTCAGAACAAGATGGCCCGGAGTGGAATCTCTATTGCCGAGCCTAACTCTACGGATGATATCTCACGCATTCTCAAGCGCCGTGGCCAGAAAATGTTTGAGCAGACCGGCAATCAAGCGAAACTTGAGCAATTGGATATTGACTCGGTTCTTGCCAATGCTGAACTGCATCAGACGGAACAAGCAGAGGGCATCCAAGCTGACGGTGGTGAAGAGTTCCTCAAAGCTTTTGACTACGTTGACATCAAGGTTGACGATCTCAGCTGGGACGATATCATACCGAAAGATCAACTTGAGGAGATCAAAGCAGAAGAGAAGAAGAAAGCAGATGAGCGTTATCTGGCTGAGGTCATTGAACAGAACCGGCCTCGCAAGCGCAACGTTCCCGGTGATCTCCGGGACTCACGCGAGGAGCGCAAAGCTAAGAGGCAAGCTCGAGCACAAGTCAGTATGGACAATGGCGATGACTCAGACTCGATGGCTCAATCAGACCCGAAGCGCCCTCTGGTAGAGAAAGAGTACCGTCATCTTCTTCGAGCGTTCCTCCGCTATGGTGATCTCGTTGATCGCGAAGAGGATATCATTCGCGAGGCGCGGCTGCTTGATCGTGACCGGGAAACAGTCAAGTCTGCGCTCCGTGAGATTACGGACAAAGCCGCGTCTTTGGTCAAGGAGGACATGGCAAAATTGGAGGCCCTTGAGAATTCTGGTAGGACTCCGACGAAGAAGGAAAAGAAGGCAGTGTTGTTCGACCTGCATGGAGTCAAGCGGCTCAACGCGTATACCATTGTCGAACGTCCGACCGAGATGCGTATTCTGAAAGAGGCAGTGGCTCAGGTAGCTGGCTTTAACAATTTCCGTGTTCCAGACGCTACCAAGGCCCCGGACTACACGTGCTCATGGGGCGCGCGGGAAGATGGCATGCTGTGTGTCGGTATCGCACGCCATGGCTATGGTGCTTGGTCTCAGATCAGGGATGACCCAGATCTTCAACTTGGAGATAAGTTCTTCCTCGAAGAGCACCGTGTCGAGCGCAAGAACGAGCGCTTGAATGCGGAGGATAAAACCACAAAGTCTCCGGGGGCAGTCCATCTTGTCCGACGCGCGGACTACCTGCTATCTGTCCTTAGAGACCGATCGACGAATGGCGCGAGCATGAGTGCAAGACGAGCTCTCGAGCCCCAAAGACCAGGGCGCAAAGGCTCACGTGCCCACGCCAGCAATAGTGTCTCGGCCTCTCCTGCACCATCAATTTCTCGCAAGGGGCATCGCGAGATGGACCGATCCAGACATCGTTCTAAAACCCACGCTAGGGACAGCATGGACAGGCACCACACTCCTAGCCATGATTCTCGTCAGCGGTCCGCTCATGACGGTGACCGAATTCGTCACCGGACGTCGGATGCATCCAGTGAGGATATTCGTCGCCGCAAACCCACCGAGAATGGTCACTCTGCAGGCAAGGAAGATATGGAATATAGGTTCTTCCGGCCTATTCGTGAAAATTTGAAAAAGGTGTCAGCAGTCACCAAGGAGAATTATCCGGACAAAGCAGAGCGCGCCCTCGAGCTCAGGCGCCTTCTGGATAAGATTGGCGAATTCATCAAGCAGAATCTACAAGGGGGTTCAATGGCTTCTCTGGAGACTCGCCTGTGGTAAGTCAGCAGCCGATCAGCACTGCCGCAGCAGTACTAACTTATTTCTCAGGCAATTTGTCGCAGTTCACTACTGGCCGAACAAAGAGGCAGCAGGTGCCAAACTTCAACAGATGTATCAGAAGCTGAGCGCTGCGGGCAAGCCTGCGGCTCCTGCCCAGCCCAGCGCGCCGAATGGGGAGTCAAGTAGATCTTGATGTTTCATGTCGTCGAATGAGCTGTTGGAAGATAAAATGAGGGGATCATATAGCTGTGGAAGGAGTTTCTTTAAATTCTTTGTTGTCAGTTTGCAGGGTACATACATAAGCATTTATTTTTTTGGGAAAGCATGGCGACGGCGTCCGGCATGATCAATCTATGAAAGGGTGTTTGTTGTCGAATCCGACCATGAGAGGACCTTCTTACATTTTGATGTTTGCATGGCAATAATCTCCTTTTCTGTTCTCTTATATCTCTTGGTCTTGCTGTTGATGCACTATCTGTCTATCTATGTCTTTTTTTTTGTTTTTTTTCTTCTTTATGATCATACCATCATGCCGACTTTAGGAGCGACTGGACACAAATGTGTTTGAAGCCATGTGTTCAACAAATTATATCCGCTTGTTCTATTTTTTTTTTTTCTCTTTTTGCTTTGGTCGTCTCTGATACACATACCTGGCTACCTGGAGTGGAGGGAATGAATGGGGTCTCAGACCATACAATACCACACGATTTCACTGTCAAGAGTTTTCATATCTGGGAAAATGATACAATCTCAATAGGAACAGTAGAGTTACTGACCTTACTCATACTTCATAGCGCCCCTTGTAATGTTTCGCACGAAGCGGTTTGATTTTTGACCGCCTTATCGACCGCCTTACCCGGCAGAACGCTCGCGACCTCGCAACGAAAACCACGGATATAAGCGGATTTAAGAACTAACAGTCCAGAAAAACTGCCTGGCGAAAGTGTTCAAATTGGGCGGTGGCAGAAAAGGGCTGCGGGCCGCATACCTGCCTCTGGTTTAGGCGTGCACCTCCCTCTATCTCAGTACCCTTTATATCTTTACATACTAAGTTGCTATAATTTCCGGAGTCAGAACATTAGTGGAGGTGGGGCCGATTCAGGAACAACAAGAATTGCGGGGGAATGAACCCCCTCAATTTCTCCTTCTCCTCTTTTCCCGTCACTCACAACCATCATTACCACCTCCTGCTTTCCAGGAACCAGTCTGTCCAATTGAACTCCTGCACGGAATGCACAGCAAGCATAGCCATATGGCTTTGAATTTACCCGAGCCTATCGCGACAGCACCCTGCATACATGAAACCCCTATAGCGTTGCCAGACATGACGTGGTTATCCCATGCTAGTTCTGGTTCCTAGAGGCAAGCAATAATGCTTCGCTCCTACAAATGCGGGGTTACATTGCCGGCAAATATCATAAGATGACGCCCTCAGTCCGCGTCCTGTTCTTCCCTCAAGCTCTATTTTCGACTGCAAGTCAAGCTATATTATATGATTACGGCTCTTCACCCTCGCCATGAAGCTCCTGACCTCCTGTGCAATACTAGCTTCGGCACTCACTGCCTGCGCTGAATCAGAGCCCGGCTACTATGCAAACTTGACGTGGGAGCAGCCTCGGACTCTATCGAATTGGAGCAATCTCACCGTTGAGACTCAAACAGGGACATTCATCGGCATGCTGAACGATACCTATCCGGACGTTCGCCAGTTCTTGCTCGTTCCTTATGCTCAGGTAGGAGAATTTACCCAGTAAGACTGAGATTGAGTTAACCGAGTTTCATATAGCCACCAGTTGGAGACCTTCGCTGGCTGCCTCCGCAAAAGTTGAAAAAGACGAGTCGAAAGTTTGACTCGACGCGATATGGCCCAGCGTGTCCGCAGTATGTCTCTACCTATGATAGCATCTGGACCGAGTTTTCGCCAACCGCATTACTCTACAACCTCGGTGAGACGCGCACCCAGGGCTCCACGGCCTGGTCGACAGCAGAAGATTGCCTGTCCTTGGCGATTTGGACTCCAGCGTCAGCAAATCACCGTTCCAATCTCCCTGTGGCACTTTTTGTGACCGGTGGCGGCGGGGTTACCGGTGGCATTGCCATCCCATCCCAACTGCCACCCCACTGGGTCTCGCGCTCCCAGGAGCATATTGTAGTCACGATGAACTACAGAGTCAACATATTCGGGAGTCGGTCACCCCAAGACCTAGCTCACACAAACCTGCTAACAGCAGTTAGATCCCAAATCCAGAGCTTTGGATGAGACATCACTCACCCTACTCGACGTGCGAGCCGCGGTTGAATGGGTATATGAGAACATTGAATCCTTCGGTGGGAACAAGGACAACATTATGGTCAGCTATCTTCCACCCTTTGCCGTACATCACCTTTCCACAGTCAAGCTAATACCTCACCCGCGGTAGTTATGGGGCCAATCTCAAGGTGCCGCTCTCACTCATCTCTACACCCTCGCCTTTCCCGACGACCCCTTAGCCGCGAAATTCGGCATCCTCTCCCAACCTCCGTCTGTGACCATCGACCTCAGCACCACCGATGATGTCTACCAAGATTTCGATATCGTGGCCCAAGCTCTGGGCTGCAACTACGGCAGCGACGCTACCGCCGCATTAGAGTGCATGCGTAAAGTCTCCTGGGTGCAGATCTCGGAATACATCAACCGCTACAGCGCCTCTCCGTCGATCTCATTCAGCAGCTACATCCGTTAGTTCTCCTGTCTATTTCCTTGTACATCTTCCGTTTCTCTTCCTACTTGCTAATGAGACGACTTACTAGCGGACGAGACATATATTTTTGCAAATGAGACCCAACGCTACCAATCCGGAAAAGTCGCCCGAGGGCCGGCCATCCGCTCCAACGTGGATCGCGAATCAGCCAGCACGAACCTGACGGCCTCCGAGATCACCGAGATGGAATGGAGCTGCGCCACTGCGTCGGATGCAGCGATGCGAAAGGTCGTTGGGTTAGACACGTATCGGTATTTCTGGGCAGGTATGTATATCACTTGCACTTGCTACCTCCATCTCCAACTCCAGAGCTACAACCTACTTCCACTCGACATATCTCTACGACCGCCACTGACAAGAATGATCCGAACCAGGAAACTTCACCAACATCTCCCCAACCCCTTGGCTCGGCGCCTACCACTCCTCCGACCTTCTGATGGTCTTCGGGACATACATGAAGCAGATCGGGGACGTCCCCGATCTAGAGGTGCTCACGTCAGAGAAGATGCAGGATTACTTCCTGGCATTTTTGAAAGATGCCACCTCCGTGGCTGAGACGGTGGGGTGGGCGCCGTTCGATCCGGAGGGAGCGAATGGAGGCACAATTGTCGAATTTGGCAAGGGTACCGCAGCACGAAACGTGACGGGGGATTGGTTGGATAAGGCGTGTGAGAGTGGTGCTTTGGAGGATGTGAGGATTTGGGGGTAGGGAGATAGGTTTTGTGGCTAGGTATGCAGATATCCCTTACCAGAAAAGGTGATGGTGGTTGTTTATAGTGATATCTGCATAACCCCACTGATGACGATGAGTCATCAATGCACATAACTACTGCTCGCATGCACCCAGTTCTTCTACTTAGCCGGCCGTGGGCAGGCAGACGGGTGAATTAGATACACGAGGGATTCCATTCTCTTCTATCACAGCAGAAAGAAGTCTTCAATACTATATATCAAGAGTATTTATGTATGTTGTGTTGTGTTGCTGCGAAGCACCAGGAACTGGTCTAGTCGTTCTCACACGAGTCAGCTGTGCAGGGAGCACTGAGGCAAACATCCACAGTGGAATGAGTCGCTTAGTTTAAAGACTACAGCTCAGGCACCACCACACTCACAGTAGCATGTGATTTCCCCCCATCTCGGGAAAACTCCCAGTCTCGTTGGCAAATTACGTCAGGCAGGGGGGAGGATTGGGGGATTTGGAGCACGAGACTGGAGACTGGAGACTGGAGACTGGAGACTGGAGACTGGAGACTGGAGACTGGAGAAGGGGGAAGGAGAGAAGAAAAAAAAAAAAAAAAAAAAAGAGCACCCTGCGGGCAGTGAGTGGGTCAGTCTGGCTGAAACGGTCGGGAGACCGAGTCTTTGCAGTGGGTTAACCCGGTCGGTGGGATGTTGCTGCTGCTGTTGTTGCTACTGCTGCTGTTCGAGAGTAGTCTATTAATAGATCGAGAAGCCGAGGCGCTGGCTAGACTTGAAGATATGGATTTTTGCGATCGAGTTGTATAGGTATGTTGGTGTAGTTGGTGGCTAATTATCTTTGGATGAGAAGGAAGAGAGAATGAGTGAGAGAGGGCGAGCGACAGGAAGATAGGCAGGCTGGTGGGCGTGAGATAGAATACTACACAGTAGGTAGAATAATCAGAGACAATCAATAAGAAAGTAATCAATAGGGATGGAGATTAATCTACGATTCTGCGTCATCCCTGTTCGTGCAGCGCCGGTTCCTGACTAGCTCGGCTTGCCCCCCACTTGTTTCCTACCTAGTAAAAGAAAAGAAAAGAAATGAAATGAAATGAAAAAACATCACCTGATTATACGGACACTGATCTGTCTGACTCAAGACTCAAGACTCAAGACTCAAGACTCAAGACATACTTCTATTTATCTATTTATCTATCTTCCTCCCTTGGGTTTGTAGCTATGCTCTGGTGCCATGGAACAACACTCTCAATACTTTCCATCTTTGGGGCCAATGCGATCGTCCGGCTCACCCACCCCTTGGCGAAACACCATCCAACTCGTATGGTTGGTACTGTACCATGTCCCCTGAATACTACAGTGTAGCACTGGATCTTGGGGGCCATCATCTGCCCTGTAAAACCGTCTGTAGAGTTCCTGTAGTTCCTGTAGCAATTGTTAACAAGGTCAGTGTCCTTGCAGCAGTTCTTATGCAGGAACCAAAGGAGAAGAAATAAGAAGAAGAGCAGGAAAGGGAAGGAAGGGTCTTTATTTTCCCCCTCCTTTTATCCCAACCTCCTCCATCAATCAATCAACAACAAACAATTCTTCTTCTCGTCAGGCAGACACTCCAGAACATTGATTATGGGTTAACGGTTCTGCTTCCTCCTTCCTTTTGGCCCTCCTTTCCCTCGTGTTCTCCTCTCCTTCTCCTTTTTCCTCCTTGGGCTCAGGGAACTGTTGACTCCTCGTTGTCATCACTCCGTCCTACACGCGGATCACCCCGACCACAACGTGCTGGGCACTCGTGCTAGCCACTCTGTTTTCTATTCTGATCTATCGATATCACAATCGTTGTATTCGCCGACCCGACCGGGACCTCGACATTCAAAGTCTGAATGCTCCAGCTCCACTGTGAGTTGCTCTACAGGCGGGCTAGTATTGGTCTAAGCTTGCCCGCCGGCGTTTCATCCTCCACTGTTCGCCCAGACACTACACACTCTGTCTCTCTCTCTCTCTCTCGTCCTTCCTCTCCCGTTCCCTCCCTCTCCTGATCTTGGCTGTTCCTTTCCCTCCCCTCCGTCCTTTGCTGCTCCTCTTTCTGGCTTCCTGACCTTTTCCCTCTCGTTCTTTCCTCGTTGTGTCGCATTCTCCCCTCGACTCCTCGTCGCTTTCGCTCCTTCACCTTCACCTTCACCTTCACCTTCTACCGCCGATTTGATATCGTGCACCACGGCTATCCTTTTCGCCCCTGAAAATTGACATCGCCCCTCGCTCAATTAACACTCGCGCAACTAGGTCGCCATTCGTTTGTGCCTTCCGCCTCCTCGCCCTACCCTCAATTTCCCCAGTCCCGTGTGCGCGCCTGTCCTTCGCTCGACAAACGTCACTCACCCACCCTCAACGCAACATAGCTGTCGCTACCGTTTGCGCCTGGGTCCCCTGTTCACTTCGTCCGAGACGATCATCCGCGATTCCCTCGATCATGCGATAGTGCTCCGGCAGTCCTTTGCTCCCCCAAGATCATTCTCCGTCCTCGTCCCTACGCCTGCGTGCTGACCTAGGACGGCTGGCCATTCCCTTAGCTTCTTCGGCTGGTATAATCGAAGAACACCCTTTCTCTTCTCGCCTGTCGCTCGTTTGCACGCTATGCTGGCTCCGAAGCCCCCTGTGGACTTGGAGGGCCATTGCTCCGTCATCTATGATAACACTCTTTACGCTTACTCCGCCAATGGCTTTGTGTCCATTCCTCTCGAACTCAATGCGACATGGACCAACCTGACTATGGGAGAGCCGGTCTCTAATGCGGCATGTGTGACGGGTGGCATTGATGGAGATGAAGACCAGCACGCGCTCTACGTGGTCGGTGGTTCCGGTTCTCAGTCCGACCTATCAGGCCTGCAGCGGTACTCCTTCCAAGACCAGAACTGGACTGCCATCCCCCAAGAGAACCTGGCCAATCGGACTCGGCACCAGGCAGTCTATCTTTCTAACTCTTCCAGTATTCTGGTCTACGGCGGCCACACCTCGGACCAATCCGTCGCCTCGTCAGATACCTTCGTCGCGTACACTATGTCCCCATACGTATTAGACGCCTTCTCGGCCTCGAATGCCTCTCCGGCCTACCTTCCTGTATTGTTGCCCTGGAGCGATAGTGAAGCGGCCCTAGTAGGCGGCACAACAACCCCGAAGGGAGTCCACCTATTCAGCCCGACCCGTGGCTGGTTTGACTCCAATATCACCCTGGCCGATTCACTCTCCGGCGATGTCCGAGCTGCACTTTTCGAAGGAACAAATGGTACCAAGATTCTCGAGGCTTTCGACATGGGTGTATCGCCCAACACAGTTTCTAGCGTAGAGCTAGTCAAGCCAGGCGGTACGCCTGCCAACCCCGCAACCGCCCTGACGACCAGTTCTTCGTCCAGTAAACAGAAGAGAGAGGATTCCTCGAGCGATTACCCAACTTATTCCAGCACACTGGCCTCCTCAACCACGAGACAAAACTATTCGCTAGCGCAGGGTGAAGATGGACTAGTTGTCATCTCCAGCGGAAGCGGCACAGAATCGCTCGCCATCTTCAACCAGACCGCCAACAGCTGGGTGAATACCACACATCTGTTCTATGGGAATGAGTCGGAGCAGCAAATCCTCGGATCGATGACGCACACGACATCCACCACTGCATCGACTAGTAGCTCCTCAGCTAGCTCCTCCGCGAGCACGTCGTCTGGCGCTGCTGCCGGCGGAGGCTCATCCAGCAGCGACATTGGAACCATTGTGGGTGCTACACTCGGTGCGATTGTGGGTGTAGGAGTTATCCTGATTCTCATCCTTCTCTGGATCAAACGCAAGAAACAAAGCATCAAACTAGCGCAGGGCGGCGACAAAGACCGGCTGAGCTTCCAAGATCGGGGGGTGGAACCCCTAGCGCAATCAGCGTACCCCATGGCAAAAAGTCCTGCCCCCTTGGCTGCCGCCTCCGTGGACTCCCTGGCGATTTTTTCGGGGTCAATGAGCGATGAGAAGACACCCCGATCCGCTGGAGCGCGCCCTCCCTACGCGCAAAACACAAGTCCGTTGAAGCCGAGTCCGCTGGTGACTGTGCAGTCTCCCGACGCCTCCTCTAGTACATACTCGCCGAGTGCGTACTCTAGCGCTGCCCTCGATAAAGAGCTGTCCGTCAAAGAACTACACCCCGGGGGCAACCCCGGCGATCGTTTAACTAATGAAGGGTGGAGTCGGTACTTTCAAGATAACAGCGCGACTGACCTGGCCGGAATGCAGCCACCAACTCTTCAGCCTCCTGCTTCCGGGCTGAGGAGCAATCGGACGGACTCCAGCAGCACCGCATGGCCGATCAAGCTGACGCCCCTCAACTTCGGGTTCTTGGATGAACCCAAGCCACTCGGAGGTCAGGTGATCAGCGGCAGTCCCACCACCGAACATGCATCGTCGATCATCTCCTCCGAGGGTCGACAGATGATCATCCCCGAGAGTCAATCCGCCCGCATCTCGACTGCTTCCTCCATCGGCGACGACTCGGAGAACGACCCGCACTGGCAAACACGCAGTTGGATGGGCCGCCCGCCCAGCAGTACCTACAGTCGAAGCTACTACAATCCCAGCACTCGTGCGCCTTCCATGGCACCCTCCATGGCCATGCCCTCTGACGGTGATTCCCGTCTCGACCCATCCAGCGCTTACAACCACCGTGGATCCAGCATCCTCATTCCCGATAGCCTGGAGCCAATGCCGGAACACGAGGAGCCCGGGCACAGCAGCGGTGGCCAGAAAGCCAATGTCAATGCAGACATGAGCTGGTTGAATCTTCACGGCGACAAATGAGAATGCCTTGACACATCCTCTATACTGTGGTTTTCTCCCTCGCCTTCACTTCCTCCTGCCCATCAACCCACTTTCCCCTTGCCGGCTCCAATGCTCTCTCTTCCGCCCTCACCATCCACCACCCACTTTACATCACCGGTCCTTTCGGAACCTTCCGTGTAAAAAAGTTTCCTTCCCATGACCGCACCCATCTATCCGCCATAGATGGTCTGTACAGCTAGCTGCGCTCGTCTTTCTATCTCTTTTTCACACCTACTCTTTTCACTCTCATTCCGCGCCTGTTGTTCCCATCTCTCTATATTATGTCTAATAACTAGACCCATCCATCTAGCGCCAATCATTGATCGAACCTCGTTGATTCTACGATACCTCTCTCTTTCTCTCTTTCTCTGCCGCTGACTCCGTCCTACCACCATATTTGCCGTTCATGCGCCAATCAGCATTGTCTCTGATTCCCAGTTCTGTTCTGTCTTCCTCTCTATTTATCCCTGTGTGAGTGTATGTGTATGCCTTCTACTATATGTGCCACATATCTTGTCTGTATTGCTCTGATGTGGACGAGCTGTTTGCTCTCTGGTTTGTTTTGGATCGCAGCATGTTTTGCATGGGTACGTGCCGGGAATGGAATAATGCCCCTTTAATTCTTCAACACCGTCTACACCACAACGTATGTGCCTACTGTAGATCTGCCAGTAGGTCTGGACCGAGCCGATTGCGTTCTGAATATCCCGAGTATAAAACAATCATCAATACATAAATCAGCTTGCCGTGGCGTTCCACATCAATCCATTATCGAAACGTACTCGGAACCGTCCCAACGAACCCTAATTCCAACCGCCCCGCTCAGAAGTGGATCCTGCCCTACGCACTGCAACATGAGTGCAAAGTTTGCCCCGTTCAACATGAATAGTCAGTGTGGCCGAGTGGTTAAGGCGATAGACTAGAAATCTATTGGGTTCGCCCGCACAGGTTCAAATCCTGTCGCTGACGTTTTTTTGGTTGTTGTTTTCTTTTCTTTTCTTTTTTTTTTCCCTTCAACTTCTATAACTAACTTACTGCTTACTGGTCGTGTGCTGCGGCGCGGTTGTAAAGGCTGTAGAGGATAGGGTTAGGTGCGTTTTCTCTTTCTTTTTCCCTTTTTTTTTTTCTCCCTGTTTTGCAGTTTGTTTTGTAGCTTTGATTTCGATAGCCTGAAGAGTTCATAACTTCTAGCACTGGGTATAACCTGAGCACGTTCATCGTCGATTGATCCTGATAGTTATAACTAGTCAGTCTATATTAACTAATGGAGTGTATCAATGAAGACTTCGGTCGGTCGAGTGACTACGATTTTTATCCTGCACACACACACACACACACACACATAAGACTCAGGAATATCCTTTTGGCATGGCATAATGTACGGAGTACCCGGGTTCCACTGAATCTAGTTACGTAGAGCCCTCTTTTTCAAAGCCGTCTGGATACAAATGGATCATGGATCAGCAGTAAGTTATCGGACCACAGGACCAAGACCAAGACTAAGACCAAGACCAGGTATCACAACCGCAGCCACTCGTCATGGCTTTTTTTGTTTTCATGCGTGCGCACTGGCATCCAGCATAAATAGAAGAAGAAGAAGAAGAAGAGAAAGAGAACTAAACCAAAGGAAATAGAAACTCGCACAGATGCATCGATCTTGTCCCAAGATAATGAAGAATGGAAGTTAGATTGCTCTAATAATTCTATAGCTGTCTGATTCTGCTCTATTTTACATTCACCCTTCCCCTTCATGCAACCCCCCCCTCCCAAAAAAGTCGCTGAACAAGATCCTTCGCTATTTTGTTTCCCCCAAAACACCATCCAAGCAACAAAAAAAAAAAAAGACCCAAGACTCCCGTAACCGCTCCCAAAGTAAACCGAAGCGCCAGCCCGAATACCCAAAACTCCACTCCACAGCCCTAGTATGTCAAAATATCCCAAAAACATCGGTGGAACCAGAAGAGGGAAATAAAAAAAAAACAAGTCAACGCAAGCAAGAAAATCAACCAGCGATTCTTAAACTCCGTCCGAAACGTTCGAACCCAAAGCGATCTGATGCCCGACCCGTTTATCAGAGAGTCAACTCATCTCGACTGTCGAACGCCGCCTTCAGCGCGTCCGAAAGCCGCTGCGTGAGCGAGCTGATGAACCCCTTGGGGTCCTCGGTGGGCTTGGGGAGGTCGTCGGTCTTGCTGTGGGAGGGGGTGGACGCCGGCGGGGCGAGCAGGCCGTTGTTGACGTTGTCCAGGTCGTCGTCGTTGTCGATGTCGTCGCCGACCGAGTCTACCGTCGGCGTGAGGCTGTTGCCGTCGTCGATGGCCGGGGTCCAGTGGTCCTTGAAGTTCTTGTAGTAATCCGGGATGAAGGAGTGGGCGTGCGCGTGGGGGTCGGCGTCGGCGTCGGCATCCTCGGCGTCGGTGTCGGACTCGGCCGGGGGGTTTGCGTCGCGGGAGTCGGCATCTGAATCATCGGTGTCCTCTGCGTCGTTGGGATGGGAGCTTTGAGGCTCGGCGGTGTCTTTCCAGTGGGTGAGCTTGGAGAGGCTGGGGAGGCCGATGGCTTCGAGCAGGCCGTTCAGGAGACCTTGTTCTTCGTCGCTGTTGGGGATTTCGCGCTGTGGAGGTGTCATGTTAGTCCGGGTGTTGGGGGTGGTTTGTGGGGGGCTTGGAGGGTAGGACGTACCGGTGAGCGGGCTGCTAATCCGATGGAGGAGACGCCGGATGGTGGGTTGGAGCCGGGGACGGGGAGGGCCTGGATGATCGAGGAGAAGAACAGGCAGGCGATGAGGCAGCAAGCCAGGGAAGAAACCTTTGCGAGGATGGCCATTGTGATTGATTGATTGATTGATTGATTGGGTGGTTGGGGTGGATGGTTGAGTTAGAGATGGATAATGTAGATTGGAACGAGCTAAGGACGAAGCTGATCAAGATGAGAGGCTCGAGGAGTTAGACTCGGGGACGATGAAGCTGAAGCTGGAGCTGAGGATGATGATGATGATGTTGGAGAAAGGAGTGACGACGTCGTGGTAGATATAGTTTTCGGGATCGCCATGAAGAGCCCTGGACGAAGGAGTCTGCCGCCCCCTGGAATGTTGACGGCTGGGGAAGCATCGCGGGGAAATGCCACTCGGTTGGCTTGATTTGCACTTTCGGACACATTCCTGACCATCGACCGGGTGGCCGGTCGTGATTTCGCGCGCGATGGGGCCGAGTTATTCGGAACCTCGCCGACGGATTGGAAATCGAGAAGAGGCTGGTATCTACCTCTCCCTCCAGGATCTCCTATCGATCCAGATGTCTTCAAAATTGAGCACAGAGACCCCAACCCACACCTGGACCGACTTTGAAACCCGACAAGGGCCTCGGAATATCTCCCTCGTTTCAGAGACTGATCTGAGACTCGGCATGAGAGGCTGTCGCGAGCCATCACTCCTCGAGTCGGCGGACGCGATCTCACATTCCAAGCGGCCGGCGATCATGCCAGAACAGCTTCCAAAGCTCCTCGCCACTCGCCACAATCGTGATAAGGGCTTTAGCAGCAGTCTGCCCTCTCCTGGAATGTGTGTCGATAAGGGCTAGATTGCATCCGCCACATTCCTGGTCAGGGCAAGTTGGGATAACGCGGTCGCCCAGTCGCCCACGACGCGCCCCGGTATGTATTCGCCCGCGATGACAGCTGTGGCTGGTAAGACAGCTGAGTCGATCGTATTTCCATCCATGCTGATCATCTGTCACGGACTCATCTCGGCCTGGGTCCGATGCTTCCCAGGAATGGAACGCGATGCTTGCGGGTTTCGCGCTTCTCGATAGAAGCCGCATCCGTCCTTCTATCATTCTATCAGGGACTGTCTTCCCGCCATCTCCACAATCAGCTTCACATCTTCCAGATGCAAAAGGATGCTGGGATCGCGCTTACCCCACAGTGCCACAATGGTCGACCCCAGCCCCGCCAATTTTCCCCCGCGCTGGATTCCATGGCTTCCCACGCGTCGCGAGATCCCTGACCTATGCAAGACGCGATTCACCGGATTGGGGTTGGTAGAGAGAATAGATCCAACCATGGCAAGCCTGCAAAGAGCCTAGTTTAACAGCCAGTGCGACGTTGCTTGCACTAGGTCCGCATGGCTGAGCTAGCGATGCAAGTCTAGGGTGTGGTGCGCAATGGCCTCACGGGACTGGTAAATCGGAAAGTATAGCGTATCGTCGTGCAGTGACGGCAAAGGGATGACTGCGTTCTAAATGAGAGGGATGTGTCAGTTGAGAAATTGTAGAGAGAGAAGACGACCCAAAGACTGAAGCGATGGAGTGGTGACGCCGCTAAGACATACCCATGCGTGCATTTCTGGTGTCTGACTTCAGAGAGACATCCATCAGTGTGAACTCCGTGGCTGCATCAGAGACATTGCAGGGTTTCTATGGAGGTACATGCAGTACAGTCGCGTCCTCGTGTTCAGTCTGTGCATAGCACGGGTCAGTCTGGGGGAGAGGATGTGAAAGAGCGAGGATATGAATCGGTCGGGCGGTTTCTAGTGAGCAAACAGTTCCAACAAGCAGCCTGCAAGACCACACCCTCCATACCGTGCGCCACCGCATCAACTGCGAAGCGAAAGGGCGAGCATGACCCTGGATTTCCGATAGCCATGCCAGATCATGGCCGACTCAAGCTTCTCTCCAATTGAGCCCCCCCGCTAACGCATGCCACGGCAATGACACAGAGCCAAGTCCCCCCTCGCCTCCTCCCCTCCTCCCTTGAATCAACCTTTACCTTCGCCCCGATCTAGAAAAGAAAAGTGAGATGTACAGTACACTACCACTGCGGACATGTACTAGACAAGACCAATCCAACACCCCGCGCAGGGTACAAGGCTTGTTGTGCGGTGGCTGCTTACTCTGACGCCGCCATGCGCGGGCTTCTGCGTCTAACAACTACCCCAATATCGGAGCCAAGTCGTCCTCCGCAAGGACGGGATGGACTCTGTCTTGTCCTGTCGTAAGGTGCGCGACTCAACTAGCACTGACTAGGCATGATTCTCCCTGCAGGTTTACTTTTGCGTGCCGCAAGTCCGTCTCAATAATACGCTGCTGCGTCGTCCTAAGACGCACGAGACCCTTTTTCTCCGCACTCGCGGGGAGGAGGGGGGCTGCTGTCGGGCTACGGTGGCTGACTGAGTGACCGGCATCCTTCTGGTCTTTGGAGGAGGTATACATCCTGTGAACTACATGTTGCCTGCAGGAAGAGAGGGGAAGGCGGACGTTACGAGTCAGCAAAGCTTATGTTGGTTTTACTTCGCCCCCTCCCCTCCAAGGAGTCGACCCTACAGCAGCAGAGCAAGAGGCATCACAAGTTGCACACGTAGGCTCTTTCCTCCTGCAGGGCAGTACGTACTTACTTCTCGTCTCGGTTGAAAAAGGGGGGCTGTCCGAGATAGCACGCCTCGTTATCAACCAGCCCACTGGGGCGGACGGAGACCACTACCTTAGCTTCTTCGAAGTAGGGCCGCCCCTGTGCTTCCTCCCGGTCAAGCCTCGCAAGTATCCGTATCGCTGAGAGTTGAACGGGGGGCGAGAGAGAGAGAGAGGGGGGGGGCTATCGAGGAGCCCCGAAATTGCACTTCTACCCAGGCAGAAAGATGTCGACGAACGGTGCGGTGGATGATGAGACGCAGTAGAAGCCGCCGGTTTCTCCTCTCGCCCATCACGTAGAGCGACAGACAGATCCGACGGAGCGCGCCCTGCGTCCCCATAAATCTGCTCGATCTAGTGCTTGCTAGGTCCGCTCCGTAGTCTAGTCGGCGCCAAATAATCTTGTTCTGCTATCCAAGTCTCCCCCGCCAGCCCTAATTATCGACCGCTAATTGGAGTCCCACTCATTCGTAGGCGTCCACGTAAACTGCCATGCTCAAGAGGCATTCGTGAACCGATTGTGAGTTCTGGGGCTGGTCGTTCGCGAAAGGAGGTTATGCTGCATACCGTTTTGCTCCGAAAGACGAAGGAAACAAGATAAGAGCAATCGGGAGAAAGGTACAGCACAATACAGGGCCTCCACCATGGCGAATCAAAGCGGCAATGCTGAGGGGGAAGGGCAAGGGAAACAAGAATTACGCAACCTGGCGCTAGATATGATACCAATCTCATCATCTGCGGCTGGGGGAGCGTTTCGTAGGTAGTCTAATGGTGGTCCCTGAACTGGAGACAAGCTCCGTCGTCGTCGTTGTCGTCTTTGTTGATGTTGATGTTGATGTTGTTGTTATCGTCGTCGTCGTCGTCGTCGGCATTACTGGTCTTCTCGGCGCCGACCCCCTCCCTTCCATGTTGAACTTATTCCTCTTGTTCAGAACAACTGACCCCATATCCAGGGCTGTGCTCTCCTTCGCAGAGGCTTCTCCATTCAGGTGCAGCTTACGTGTGTCACTCACACCAGGAAACGGACCTAATTCCTTATTCAAGTGATCTCTTCGTGTTTTCTGACAACTTAGCATTACCTACTTACTGTCAAGCCCACATGATGTTCCCATCAAGCAGCATGGGCCCTCACACCTGATCTAAGTTAGTAGTAAGTTAGTCTAGACTAGAGCGAAGGCAGAGGGCCTACGGCCATACACCAACCAAAGATTCGCTCGCCCTAACCACCTTCCTCCTCTCACTAGTGAACCCAGGTTAGGCATTTTCGAGACTAGTCTCCGGCGAGAACATTTACTCAGTATCTTCCAGCAAAGCAGAAGGGGAAAGGGGGGAAACGAATCTAATTTTCTACCGCGCGGCATGTCAAATCTCGGACCCCACTGAGTGACGTCTCTGCTTACGCAGCCCTGTGTGAATTGTGGATTTTAGTTGATCCTAGTGGCTTTTTTTTTTAATCTGCTCAGTGATTTTTCTTTTCTCTTTGGTTGCTGTGTGATAAGGTAGGTAAAGGGGGACAAGTTCGGTGGTGGTGGCCGTTGGTGGAAGGTTGATAATGATATGTATGATATCAGGCCACATGGTCGGAAATGATCAGCTGTATAACCGGGGGGCTTGTTTACCCCAACTTCTTTGGTCTTACATCGTTCAGAACATCATTTTGATCGTTTCCCTTCAAGTAACCAAGCGAACAAACATCCACAACCATTGGAAGGATCAAGAAAAAAAACAAAGAAATTCCCGCTTCCAAAAAATCACCGAATTCCCTGCATGCTGGACCGAACCGAGCCCCCCTCTTTGCTCTCTCTCTCTCTCTTTCGCCCTCAAGCCCAGTGAGAAACACTAGCAAGAGTCTAGGAGTCTAGGGTAAAAAGCCAAGCGAAGCCCATTTTCCCTGCACTAGTGATTTCACCCACTTTGCGAAAGAAGCCAATGGGACATGACTGGAGGAAAGTATGTGCGTGGGTCCAAAATTCTGGAAAAATTTAATCCCCCAAAGTGCCAAAAAGAACAAGAAAAAAAGGAAAAAAGAAAAACAGAACGACCCTGAGCTGGAATGAAAGCTCGCACTCGTATTCATTGAGTGGGCCTACGTAATCAAGCCGACAAGCTACGGTTCCCAAACTTTCTTTTCGGACCCTGAAGATCTCAGGGCCGAGGGCAGGACTCTCTCTTTTGAAGATGTACGTAGTGGACTGTGTACTGTAGACTACTTCGTAGATCATTAGTCGTAGGAAGTCTGAGTCTGTGGTTGATGATTACTTCAGGCACTATTCTTGTTCCTTTCTCTCTGTCGCAACAGATCTGGTGGCAGATCTCTGTGCTTATCAAAGGGAACGAGACTAACCCCAACCAACCAACATGTCGACATTGATTGTAAAGATGGTGAAGTTTACCTTCGTAGTGAGGGACCATGCGCTGTGTATCTACTATCTACCTCCGAGTCCTCCTTGAACAGTCAACACTCAACTTACATACATAATACTTGTACCTCCAAGCCGCAGTAAGGTCCATACCGCACCCGCTCTCGTGGCGAGTCCAGCACCCTTTTCCCGATCCGGCATCCGTGACGACTTTAGTGAAAACGTAGGGTTGTTGATCTGGCTAGACCCCCTCGACCTCTTGGATTGTGCACATACTATGGACGTCGATCCGCGAATCATCCAGTCTCACCCTATCTGTCTATCATGAGTTTATTCCACCCCGTATATAGCACTACATCCTCACTGGCTACAGTTAGTATCTCTCATGATCATCACAAGCCTCAAACCCACGAGACGCCCTCGTGATCACGATGTCCCATCCCATCCCATCCCGTCTCGGCTGTTTTGTCTGCATGTGGAGAGAGAACGCGCGCCGAAAAGGGTCGTCACCAAACCCTGCAGTTTCGTGGCTTGTCAGGCTAACCTTAAATCCGAGGGGTGCACACGCGTCCCTTCCTTACCCCCCTCCCTTCTCCGTCTTTTGCGGCGCAAGTACTGCGTACTGTACCCTAGTAAGGTGGTGGGTTGGCTGTTAGGGCACGGGATTGATGTTCTCCGAGACGATTCGATGACTATCTCTTCCTTCGCAACAAAACCTCTGATCTTAGCTGGAGACATCCGACTCATGAACCCCTGGTCGCGTCGCTTAGATCTGAATCATTGTCTCAGCCCGGATATTTCTCTCCCATACCCTATGAGTTGCAGAGACATTGTTTGTTGGCGTCCGTCCCTCTTGCTCCGGAATTCCCGACAGAAGGGAAGAGCAGAGAGCTAGACCCGAGCCAAGACACCGGCAAGGGAAAAAAAAAAAAAACCACACCACGTACTATGACTTACCGTTCCGTACACTAGAGACCACATCCATCGCCCCTGGTCCCCCCCCTCCGAGCGCAGCGTTAGTGCAGTGGGCTTTAATCTCTAGAGGCTTGGCTCCGTGCTAGTTCGGGGGTAGCACCGTAGCCAGAAATTGAACTTGGGAATTTAAGGGTCCATAGGGCTTCTTCCTTCTCTCTCTGAGTCTGGTCTGCTTGTTTGTTTGTCTCTCTGTTTCTCGGCACTTGTCCCACTGTTTTCTTTTTTCTTAGGTGTTTGTTATTGTTAACCTTTTCGGGTTGTTAGTAGGCAGATGATTCGTCGACTGGCCGACGGGTTGGTAGAGTTTTTTTTTTTTTTTTTTTTTTTTTTTCTCTCAATCTGTGTATTTCTTTTCTTGGGCGTGGGTGGAAAGTCAAATTTGCTGATGAAATATGGAATTGAAGCCTCGTTCCGAGAACCAGTAACTCCGTCATCTAGATAGGAAGGGTAAGCAAGCAAGCAATTGAACGGGCGAGAAAGTTTACTGCGGTGCCAGCCCGAGCTTTTGACAGTTGGGACAGGACAGGACGGATGCCTTCCGGGTAAAATATTATACGCAAACGTTCCGTGCCGGTTTGGGCTGTCCAGGGGCTCGGGACTTTGGAAAATCTATGGGTCGCGGAATCCAGGGACCAGAGATGGGATTTTGCGTCGTACAAGTACGTACGTATGTGCTACGGTACGAGTACTACTATATCAAGATACGGAGGCGATGTCTCTCGACGAGCTTCATTCCTGTGAAGTAGTTCTCTGCTGTTGAGTCAGCGGATGTTTCAACTCGTGGGCGAAAATCGCCAGGAATAGGTAGTTACCCACGGCAATGGGCATAGTCTCCAGGGGCAATCAGGGTCGTCGTCACTGTAGTTAGTGGTATCCGATTATGCACATACACATACTCGTACGTACGTACCCGGAGTCGAGAGCGGGCTTGGCGGTCTCGCTTACGGAACGTCTAAAGGCTAGATCAGGGAGGGGAGTGCACCACTGGGCACCGTTGCTACAATCCCCGAAATAAAGAAAAAGGATTCTAAAGTAGTTAAGCTAAAGAAGGTTAATGGAGGGTTTGAGCGACATCTGTCTTCAGAATAATCTGGTGAAGATCTGATCGGGACCATGTTTCTTCAGACTGCGCATCTCCATGTTAAACAAATCAGATCCATGGGAACCAGCCAGTCCTCTCGACCGGAAAGGGTTTGTCGCCTTACCAGCTTACTTCACCTACTCACTTGCCGCTTAGTCAATCCGGCCGCTAACTAGTCTGCTGCCAAGACATTCTGGCAGATCTTCTTCTGCTTCCCTTCTTGTTCCACGAGGATCATCGTGGAAGGTCAGATCATGTGAGTGTTCGAAGGAGGGAAATTTTGCTTTCTTTCCTTTTTGGTGGGATTGGCTGGGGATTAGTCTCAGATGCTAGAGGATATTATCCAGACTGTCACCGGTGATCATTCTTCGTCGAGGAAACGAGACAAGCACGCAAAACAAAAAAGAGGCTGATCTACTCCCGTCCAGCGCCTCGGTTGACTCGGCAGCGGGTGGATGACTAAGTGCCGATGATGGAGAGGGTTTTCTTTTCTTTTGCTTCTTGGTTTTTGCCCGGCTATTTGCTGTAAGCGATTGGTGGGTATGGTATGTGGGTTTGGTCTTTGATTATGGTTCCAGATGAGGGAAGGGGAAGAACCTGACCCTCGATCTTTTCTTTCGTAAGGGTGTATCTATAGACCAAGTGCCACTCGAGTAGATAGTGTACGTAGATAGTGTATACCAATAACTCTTGGTGCTGTAGGGACTCGTATACCCTGCGCCTAGCTCAGCCACGCCACCTCAGCCTGCGGGATGGGAGGTCATAAGGTTGGACCTTATCACTACTTTTAGTCGTTCATTGTGGATATTCGACGATTATTGTTGAGACCAAAGAATTGTGAAGCAATGATAGGAACCTGCACGACTATACCTTATGGTGCAAAGTTCCAGCATCCAATCTCGGGAAACCCCCCCCAGCACCTTCGCCCTATCCATGTCTCACTCCCGACTCCCGAGACATCATCGGCAAAGTCAGGTTCAGGGCCAGGGTCAGAGGTTCACAGGGAGGAGTTTAGTCATCGGCATACTCCCAGCCCGTTCGGTGGTTAGACTCACCGTATGTATACGCGGCTGCGTCAGATCGCAAACCACAGAGAAACATCCACAACGTTTCTGATTGAACAGCCCCTGCTCCTCGAGATGCTTGGCATCGCAATTAGTGTTGTGGTGCCCGGGTCCGATCCCTCGAAAATCTAGCCGCTGCTGTCAGAAGCTGCGTGGCCCTGCAGATTAGGGACTGCCCCCTACGTTAGTAGATTGGAAGCTGGGTGGCCCCCCGGAGCCCCTTCTTCCCCTTGCTATGAGATCCATTTCCATGCCCATCGAAGTTGACTATGACATGAACATTCCGATGACTAAGATCTTCAGTTCATGGAATCATGGTCACTGGGTAGGGCAAGTACCACACATCGACTGCCTCCGAAGTTTTGCCCCGGATAAAGATTGGAAAGGCTTATATCTCGGAGGACAGATTGTCGAAGTTTGCCCTCGGACTTGTACTGAGTCCAGTACCTACAGGCACTGTACTGTGATATTCACTCTACCCACAGCGGAAGTTCATTAAACCGTGAGGGTGGCCGTTTTGCGTCACTTGTCCCCGCGATTGCACAGCACAAATTCTCATTGTCATCAGTCGAGTCCCTAGGCATCAACATTTCTGATTCCCCTTGGGATCTGGCCAATGATGATCCCCCAGGGCCCTGGCGAGGAGATTAGTCGCGGGCGGGGGGGGGGGGGGGGAGTTAGCGAAGGGCAAGAGAGAGGGGCCGGACTACTCTTTCTTGACGTTATATCCGATCCTCTGACGCGTCTGATGGATCAAGAACCGAGGGGGGGTTTCCACAGTTCCTTAGTCTTTGCTTCGGGATGAAC